AACAACATATTTATATAATTATTTATTTGAAATACACGTCCGAAGGTATTAAATAAATTAGGTACTCTTTAGTCTTTATCATAGCAATAGTCGCATATATATATATATATACATCACAAAAACATTGACATACCATAGACTAACAGATCTATGGGAAAAAAGACCAAATAATTTGTGCATCGTTTTCCTAACCTTGCTAACCTATACCATATAAATGAGTATTACTAAAAAAATAACAACCAACTATAATAAACCTAATTCAAATCGGATAAGCTTGAACTAGTTCATTTTTGAAAACTATCAAATTTTAACTAGTTCATATTTAATGTCTTGAACTTGAACTTGAACTAGCTCATTTTTAAAAAGAACTCTCCCATTAAGTACAGACTTTCAATTCTCACTCTCAACTTACTAATGTTGCGATTTGATTTAAAATTTTTATACCTACCTACCTACATTACTTAAGTTACAACGAATTGTCTTGATCGATTAGTCTAAGTTTAGTCCTTACTCCTTAGACTATATATTTAGCTCTAAGCACATCATCATAGAAACATACAAATAATAATTAATGCATTTAATTATTATGTATTATTTTTCAGTTAGAGTATATCTGCTATTATTACGTTTTTTTTTTTTTTTTTGATGAAAATTGATTTAACGTAATAATATCAGATATACTCTAACTGAAAAATAAAATTATGTCAATAGACTGCAACAAAACTATATAGGTACTAGGTACCTAGTATTGTAGTAATTAAATCAGTATAATAAAATTATTTATTTAAGCAAATGCTTTTAGTGACAGTGAGGTACTAACAGAAATATAGGTTAGTGAGGGACGATGATGATAACTCGTGAGTCTCAACCACAACTGCTTTGGGTAAGTATTTTAATAATTATTATGATAAAGTGACATTATAATATGGTCTGTTGTAGGAACTTTTTTTTTCTCCAGAACCGAATCGAATATAGGTACCTAATTTAAAATTATAGTTAACTAAATGTTTTGACTTGTGGTGGATTTTTTGAATGTAGATAACGTTTAAATTTTCAAAATCGCATAAAAACGTTCTGAACTAATCAATGGATTGCTGAATAGGCAAGTAGCTAGGAATTTTTGACGTGAAATGTGAAGCAGGTATACCTACTATACAAAATTCTTCGTTAAAGGTTAAACATTCCCTTCACTTACACCTTTTGAAAAATTGACATAAGGTAGGCTCATGGTATTCAAAACAATTGGAAACTCTTTAATTTCTGTTTGCATATCTTTATATAGCTACCTACTTATAGCAATAACAGATATACCTATTGATGCACATTTATTAGGTAAAATATTTAATGACCTCATTAATTATATCATATCGTTTATCCAAACATTTTGAACACTGTATTAATCATAAATGGAGTATAATACATTCATGCCACCGGTCTATTAAACACGGTAGTTTAGTTAATTAACAATATATCGTCGATGATAAAAAAGTAAATTCATTATATAATACAATATAATATAATATTCTGTACCTATTATAATATAGAAGTCAGTATCATTGACGTAAAAAGTGTTTGAAATTTGGGGGGGGGCTGAAGCTCAGGTCTATACTTGAAACTCTTATGATGCTTTTAAATTATAGTAGTGAAATCATTAGTTTTTTTTTTTGGGGGGGGGGGGGCTATAGAAACTTCAAGGGGGGCCAAAGCTCCCTGCCCCCTTCCTATTTGCGTCTATGGTCAGTATTCTCAATTAATGTTTTGATAAAGATTAAGGATTATTGATTAGTAAAGTTAACTACACAATATTTCATTAATTTATCTATGTTGTTTTTATATTAAGTAAGTGCTTATATGTATACTATAGGTAATATATCAAGACATCAAGTATAAGCTGTAGGCTAACATAAACATGGCTAATGTTGGGGGGGGGGCTATAGTCCCCTTAACCAACACTAAGGCTACATCTCTGAAACTAATTAAACATGACCAATCTTGTAGGTATCCGTACACATATAGAATATAGATACATACTTGCATTAGGTGTGTGGTGTGGCAGATTTTCGAATAGATATAAATAGTGGGGATCCAAAAAAATACTATCAACTGATGATTTGTTTGACGGACAGACCGACTAGAAATCGTATTGTATTTTTTAATTTTTCCATTCTAGATTATTTTATCTTTATGGTTATATGGTTGATAATTTTGTTCCGGGCAAATTATAATGAAACATCAGCGACTACTTATAACAGTATACATTCTGTATCTGTATGTATATAATATTCTAATACGAAGTTCGTTGTAATTTGTAGAAATGTGTAGTACGAAATAATATTAAAGTGTGGAACTGCAAATTTGTTATTGAGTATTTATTTTAATCATAGGTGATCATAAATTACAATTTATGAATTTTTTCATTAATCTTATAACAAATAATACCTATTTGTTAAGTTTTGATGTTACTTTCGATAGCTTTGACAATAGTTTATCAGTTATGGACTTAAATATCTACTTCATAGCTAAGAGTGATAAGACTACAATGTCCGATAATTGTATTAAATATGTATAAGTAATTTAGTAGTTATGTATTTATGTTCAGTTTTTAGCGAATTCCTTAAAAAGAAAATCGTTCATTTGTCCTTCCTATGGGAAATGAACAAGTTAACTATTTAGTTCAAAATAAAATAAAAATTCTTATTTAATCATCAATGTTTTTTTTTCATGCTCGTACTTCTTTAATTTTTAATTATAATATAAAACTACAATCAGGTACATATTTTATAATTCTATTTTGAGATTTTCTTCAAAATTCAATTGTTGGCCGACGTATGTCGACTGTCTTATCGTTTATTGTTATAAATAATTATATTTTATATAAATACTCATTTCTATATAAATTATAACTTATAACTTTACTTAAGAGAAATATTAATAAAGTGACTAATGACTAGAGTAGGTAACGATTAACGTCGATACTCGATAACGATCACTAATTGGCAATATACGTTATACACATTAAAAAAAATATATCTTAATTTCAATTATTTACATATCTGTGTAAATTATTGGAACTAGAAAGGACCGAAAAATGTTGTTAATTTTCCGTGAAATATAACTCGTTCATTTTGTCGTTCTTTTTGTATAAAAAGAAATTAGTTCTTTCAAACACTGTTTATATATTTAATAATTTAAACAAGGTTACGTACACTGTACAGGTTAAAAAACATAACATTATATGAATGATCATTTTTATTTCAGTATGCGTTCGTCAGCAGTAAGTGCCTACTAAAATTTATGTAATACAATAAATTACAAAAAATAGGCCATGTAAGACACGTTTAAAATTTTGTTTCGATTAAAGTAGAGGTATTCCTATAAATTGTTCTCTGAAAATAATTCAACTTGATTATTTGTATGTATATGTTTATTAAACATTGATAGTTTTAAATTTTAAATTATATTATATTATTAATAAACTTTAACTGACAGACATTGGTTAGCCACAATTAGACAGAGCTGTAGGATTGAAAGTGTTAATATTGTTTAAGTGTTTATATTTTTCAATTTATTTTTTATTTTTATACAGGAGTTAGGTACACGAATACCGGTTGATGTAGTCAAATTTCCATCTTTATCAAAACTCATATAGACATATGTAATAATAGTACCTATTAAAAATGCTTAATATTAAGTGTTTAGTAATACATAATAAAGTACATATGGAGTGGATATTATATGACGTGTTAAAAGAAACTAAAAGTTAATAGATAATAGTATACAATGGTCTAGAATTTAAAAAAAAAATTATTACACAATCTATAAAGATAACTGTTTAATATGTTTTGACCGACGGCCAACGCTATAATAGGTACAGTACAATATTGAATTCACCGCTCAAATTGCCTACACCAGACCCCTTAAAAATAAGTAACGAGATAGTTGCGGTTGCGCCCTATCTTTTCGACGCCTCTTATAAAATATATCCACAGTAACCGTAAATCCTAAGTAGTATTATAGTAAGCAGTATTATTTAGGTATTATGTTTTCGTCTGGTTGTTGCCCGGTCGTCGTTCCATCCCGAACGTGCGTCGGCAGCGGTCGGTTGTCATCGCGACGGTCGTGACTCGTGGGGCGGAGCTGAGGCGACGCTTAAGTCGACGACTCGACGTGCCTACTACGTTAATGTTATTGACGAAAGGCTTAAGGCACAACTATTATATAATACACCCATTATAGTGCCTTGGCTCAGCACGTCGTCGAAGGTCGCACCACGGTGGCCACGACCTTAGTAGTACGCCTGTGGTCTGTACACGTTAAAATACGTCACGACTTTAGATAGCTCGTTCTACAACATCACCCGATCATCACCGCTAAATTGTTATCATCACCGTCGTCGTAGTTGTTGTGTATACTATTATCATAGTTATCACCATAGAGACCTAATACGGTTGGATAATCAGCTATGGTTATCACTTATCACGATCGTCGATTTTTTACACTCTTTCTGCTCTCACTCACTCACTCTCTCTCTCTCTAACCCTCTCAGTGTTCGGGCCGAACCACGGGCTCTCTTTTACTTTTACTCGCCGCTTTACGCCTTGCCGACTACGGGATACACAAAACTAATATCATAAGCGTGACATCCGCGCGCGTCCACCATAGTACAGATAGGCAAGCCTGACCACCAGATAGGTAGTGTTCCGGGGTACAGTTTCCAGGTCGATCGGTCAGCGTTTACGGGGCCCTGTGCAAGAGCAGAGTGGAAAGAGACAGAGACAGTGTCCTAGCGGGCCGCTATCTTCATTCGCGGCGGTTATCGTCGTTTCGCCGTCAGTGTCACCCTCACACCCGCTGACACGCTTTCAGAGACGACCTGTGTAGTACCTACCTATCTCGCTCGCCGTTCCACGTCAGTTCCAGCTCCGATCCGGCTCGGTTCCAGCAGCATCCGGCCCCATTCGAATGCGCCGTTCGAGTCATCCGGCGTCGTATTAACAACCATGTACTTACGTGCATCTACGTCGCTCTCACGCATCACCGCCATCGCCAACCGTCGATCGCCGGCGGTCGTCAAACGTCGGGATTACAGTGACAACGCCGATAGCGCAAAGGTGAGATTGACTGATGAGTGCTTGGAAGCCGGGCGCGGCGTTTTTTTTTGGGGGGGGAGGGCATAGGGGCCCCCCTAGACATCATAAACTAGGTACCTGTAAATAACAATTTCTTTACCTAAGTGGGTAAATAGGTAAAGAGTTAAAAGTTAAATTTTTGGACCAAAAGGATATTGAGCCCCCCCCACCACTAGAAAACTAATCAAATCCGCTACTGTAGGACTCAGCCTATACATATTCTTGTAGTGTTTTTTGTTTGTATGTATACCTTTGCCGTGTTTCAATTATTAGGCACGTATGTAGATCGTAATAAGCACTGGAGACATTCGTCTCATATATTTAGTGAAATGTAATTGCCAATGGGTGACGACTGAGGCACATTAAGTATTCTTTTGAGTACAATTTTCTTTTCAAATATCTTATATCCAAACAACTACCTACCTAAATCTAAAAAAGATATTTTTGGCTTTATATAATAGGTAACTAATATTTTATCGTTTTCAATATCAGTAGAAGACTTATATAGGTATAAATATAATATACTTAGAAATCGAATAAAAATGATAATGTTATATTTGTCTATGACATTTTAAATTACCAAATATCTGGTTTTTCCCATTAGATTTTATCAACAATAAAACATTTTATTAAGGTATTATATCTTCAAATTATTCAAATATATTTAACTTTTTTTCAAATCTTCTATAATTCAACAAAATGAAAAAAAAGCTATTGGTATCTAAAAATGTATAATGGCCGATTTCACCTACACAGTTAATCACGGTTAACGCTGATAACAGATATTTAACCGGCCAAATTCGGCCGATTAAAACTCTGGTTAACTTTAACCGTGATTAACTGTGTTGGTGAAATCGGCCCTAAGTCTTTTGTACCAAATCATACATGTAATTATGAAAGATAAAATGTTGGTTTTCTAGAATTTAGCAAGTAGGTGCTTCTATGGAAAAATGTATTATCTCATTAATATTGAAGGCGTTTATATTTTTTATTGAATTCACAGACAATAACTTTAATTGATTAATTTTGCAGAGAGGACTTGTCGTTGGTGTATACATTGACGATTCTGGAAATAACTTGAAACTTACACCAGCAGCTGACCAGATAAATCAAGAGAGTGGTGGCGCAATTTTAAAAGCATTAAAAATGTAAGTACCTATATGATGTTCATATACAAGTTATTTTAATAAATTTAAGAGTGGTGAAAGTATTTTTTAATGTTTAATCTATATTTTTCTGCATTTTATTTTATTACCTAAAATATATTATGTTATGTTACTTTATTATTATTATTATTATTATTATTATTATTTAATATTTATGTTAACATTGTTTCATTATGCTATATTACCCTTCTTAATACCTGCCATTATATTTTAGTCAACATTGTTAAATGATTAAAGGAATCATCTACCTACCTTGAACAGATTTTACCATTTTACCAAACTAATCATTTATTAACAAATTCTTCATACCTACCTATAAAATATAAACCTTAATAATCAACTCAGTGTCTAAGTACCTTGTATCTTTTTTTTATTTTCAATAGTTATTTGGTGGCATATCTAGGAATTACAATGCTTTTGACAAAGCAAGCCAGTGGGCTTTGATTTTAACAACCATACAAATATGTTTTTTTTAAACATTAAAAATATATAAAATCATTTATACCAACTAATTTTTAAAATTGTATTTATCTTTGAATTAATAAAATATTGACAAAATAAATACAACAGCACCAGCTGCTGTACATTTAATCACCTCCGCCACAGAAATATAGCTTGTATTTTGTAGGATAACCCTGGAATAACCTCATTAAATATATATATAAAAATCAGAACTATAGTAAATACTCCTTTTCAATACTGTATATCAAATGTCTGTATTAAATACTGAATGCAACAATTTAGTATACCTATAAAACAAAGAATATAATTCAATCAAGATTAATTTATTATTTCAATTTCCTATATTTCCATATTTGTGTAAGTGTGGTGTTGCATATAGAAAAGTACGAGAAAAATAATTTAGATACCTCATAAGTACTTAGATTAATGTTTTAACTGATATAAATTGATATAATTATTTAACAATTTGATTTAAGTTTGCATTTCGTAAACTGAAATGATAAGAGATGATTATGTAGTTATTAATGTGTCATAAGAATTAGGCATGAATAATAAATCATAGTACTTTTAATGTGGCATTAGAGATATCCTAACCTACCAAATTAGCTTTTGCTCTATAAACTATATTTTACAAATTCTTCATAACTTTTTCACTATTTATTTTATTTTTTTAAAGATTTTTATTTTTATATTCTTGAAGCCATATTTACAGATTCGTATTAAATACAAATTTGGTAGGTATTTTTCTTTCTTATTTTCTTTTATATTTTTTTTTTTTTATTAGTTTTAAAAAAATTGCTACTTTTAATGTTAATGTGAAATATTATTTTATTATTTAAAGTGGTTTACAAGTAACTCCTCTTTAAGATTTTGAATTTATGCCTGTATGATATATTAATATATAATAAAACACATTATTTCTTATTGTTTCAGTTTGCGACATACTAAAATGTATTAAAATAAAAATAAAAAACCATGTCTGAAATGACGGAGGAAGAGAACTCCGGATCACGTGCAATCAAACGTCAACATTTGGATTCCACTGACACTTCATTATCAAACTCTTCATCTGATTATTCTTGTCCTGTATGCTATGATATTATCCATGAAGCACATATCACCAAGTGTGGACATTCATTTTGCTATAGTTGTGTTTCTAGAAGTCTAGAAACAAATTCTTCTTGCCCAAAATGTGGTAACATGTTATCAGGAGGCATCTGTGATATATTTCCAAATCTAGCACTTGATAAATTGGTAACCAAGTATAAACTTGTAAATCCTGGACGTAAATTAGAAAACTCTAGTAAACTAGGTTTAATTGCTGGACTACGAGGATTTGTCAATGCTGAATCTAAGAAATTAACATTATCTGATGTTGATGCAATGTTGGAACTTTTAACTCGACGTAAGCGTAAACTTGAAGCTGAGTCAGCTTTGGCTCAAAATCGGTTACTCTATGAATTCCTTGAAAGGTTATTATGTGATAAAGAATCACAAATGCGTAGGATTGGAAGACAAGTGGAGTTGGTAAAAAAAGATGTAGCTTTTGTAAAAAAAATTTTAAAAGATTGGGAAGCTAAGAAACCTGTAGTTACAGATATAGAACACAATAATATCAATGAAAAATTTGATAATACTCCTCCAATAAGTAGTGTCAATAATTGTATCCCAGGTAATATTCAACGTAGGCGTATGTGTTCACATTTTGATGATTTTGTTGATTGTTATTTTTCATTGAGAGCAAAAGAATTAGTATTTGGTAATAGACACTCAACAGAAGAAGATGGAAATGTTAAAGAAAAAGATCATGAAAAAGGATTGGATGAGTTTCGAGAAAATCTAGTGAAATTTTCTAAGTTTAATGCCCTTAGACCCATAGCTACACTGAATTATGGCACTGATATATTCAATAACTCAACTATAGTATCAAGTATTGAATTTGATAAAGATGATGAATATTTCGCTATAGCTGGTGTAACAAAACGCATTAAAGTATTTGAATATGATTGTGTATTGCGCGACAGTGTTGACATTCATTACCCTTGTGTAGAAATGATATCTGCTTCAAAGATATCTTGTGTTAGTTGGAACTCTTATAGAAAAAATACTGTTGCTAGTAGTGATTATGAAGGGGCTGTATGTGTGTGGGACGCAGGTACAGGTCAACGTACAAGGATATTTCGTGAACATGAAAAACGATGTTGGAGTGTTGATTTCAACAAGGCTGATGCTGGCCTAATGGCTTCTGGATCAGATGATGCACGTGTTAAACTTTGGACACTTAATCAAGAACGGTCTGTTGCATGTCTTGAAGCAAAAGCCAATGTATGTTGTGTTAAGTTCAATCCGGTTGGTGCTTCTTACCTGGCATTTGGCTCTGCTGATCATTGTGTTCATTATTATGATTTACGACATGCCAAACGTGCTTTAGCTATATTTAAAGGTCACAAAAAAGCAGTGTCATATGTTAAATTCTTAAACGGAAAGGAAATGGTGTCTGCGTCAACCGATAGTCAGTTAAAACTATGGAATGTCAATGAAGCCCACGAAGGATGTGTTCGTTCTTTTGTTGGTCATGTTAACGAAAAAAACTTTGTTGGCTTGGCCACGGACGGTGATTACATAGCTTGTGGATCTGAAAATAATTCTCTTTATATCTACTACAAGGGATTACAAAGAAAATTATTCACGTTTAAATTTGAAGCAAATAACGCAATTTTGAGTGCATCTGAAGAAGAAAAAGATAGACGAAGGGACGATGACGTTAATGAATTTGTTTCCGCTGTTTGCTGGCGTCAAACATCCAATATACTCATGGCCGCTAATAGTCAAGGGATTATTAAAGTTCTTGAACTTAAATAATTCTATGATTCATTTCATTATCACCTTAAAACTGTATATTTTTAAATTAGTTAATGTTATTATTTATTTTTATATAAAATCATCTATTTATCTCATTTTTATGCAATATATTTTGAAATAGTGTGATATTTTGTATTTTATTATATGTACACTGCTGACAAAGTGTGTGTTTGAATATTATTATGTTGTATTGATAAATTTAGAAATACCAATATTGAGTATCTGTGAATTTGTGTGCTTCCAAAAGCCAAATGTCCATTATCCTACATAGTATTTATAATAGATAAATTTATATTTTTATTATTATTACTATTAGCTGATTATCATTGTGTTGAAAATATTTTATGTAGATGAACAGTTTAATATGAATGCAAATTTACTAAAAATATATTTATATAATATGATTATAGTAATTTTTAAAACGTTGTTGATTATTTTCTTATTTCTATTCCATTTAAAACAATTAAGTTAAGTATTATAGTAATTTAGTAATATTATATTTTTCTAGAGGAAAGGGGTTTATGAAAAAAGGAAAATCCCGGTTATTTTTTAACACTAATCTTAAGTATGGAACAATTGCCGTGGTTGGAATTGGTAAAGAAGAATTAGATGATAAAGAAAATAGTGATGGAATTGATGCTAAAAAAGAAAATATTCGCATCGCAACAGCTAGTAATTCAAAGACATAATTTATTTGTTAATTATAATTTTGTATGTAATGAAAAAATTGTATTTTAGATGGTTGTCGTAGTCTTGTAGATTGTGGTATCCAAAATATATTTGTATCTGCTATGAATGATTCAGAAAGTGCCGCTGAAGGTTCTATGTTGGGAACTTGGAAATTTCAAGAGTATAAGAACAAAAAAGATGAAATTCCAAAAATATCATTATTTGAAGATACATACAGGTTTGTAAATTGATGGTATAATATTTTTAAGTAACTAAATAAACTTATATTAGGCTTTCCTTTTTATAAACTTGTAGCGATGGGTGGTGTCGGGGAATAATTAAATCGAATGCTCAAAATTGGTCAAGAAAGCTTACTGAATCTGCTTCTAATCATATGACTCCAACTGTGTTCTCTAAAGTAATGTATAAATTTGATTTTTATTTTACTTAAATAATGTAATAATGTTTTAAGACTAAAAACATTAGTGTTAATTGTCTTATTAATGGCTATATAATTCTTGTCTTATACTGTTCAAAAAATTATTCAAATATCTAATAACTGCAAAAATATTTAAGAGATATATAAGGTATAACAAATGTAATACTGTAATACAAACGTCCACATGGATATTGTTTCCAAGTCGTTTGTTTTATAATATGATAATATAATAATATAGTAATAAATTATTTATTAAGCTTCATTTTATTAACTTGATGGTTATTTAATTTGTAAAAATGAACCATAATTTTTCTTAGGAAGTTCAAGATGTACTTGGAAAACTTGGTGTTAATGTAATAGTACGGGACAAATGTTGGGCTGAAGAAAAAAAAATGGGAGGCCTGTTAAATGTTGCAAAAGGCAGTATACAACCTTTATCATTTTTGGAAATCAATTATTCAGGTGGACCCAAAAACGACAAACCTGTAGTTTTAGTTGGTATGCTAATTAAATACTGAATTTGTGCAAAACAAAAAGTAGCAAACATTTGTCTTATGTTTGTCAGGCAAAGGAGTAACATTTGATAGTGGAGGCATTTCAATCAAACCATCAGCAGCTATGGGTGAAATGCGAGCTGATATGATGGGTGCTGCAAATGTAGTAGCTGCCATCTCTGCAATTGCCGAACTAAAACTCCCAATTAATGTGATAGGTGAGTAAAAAAAAGAATTTGGGAGTAAAAAGTATAAATTAATAAAAGCCAAGGTAATTTTACACATTCTATGAATGCAATTTATTATGTTGGTTTTGTTAAAGGGTCCAGAGTATTAAACATTTATATTTTTAGGTCTGACTCCATTATGTGAAAATATGCCCAGCAGTAGTGCACTAAAGCCGGGAGATGTTATTGTTGCCATGAACGGTAAATCTATACAAGTAGACAATACAGATGCTGAAGGTAGGCTTATACTTGCTGATGCTCTCTGTTATGCAGCTACGTTCAAGCCAAAAATCACTATAGATCTTGCTACTCTAACAGGTCAATATATATTATATATATTTGTTTCAAATTACATTTAGCTTAGAATAATTGTATCACAATATGTTCTTATAAAATATGTAAATATGTCTATGGTGTTAAATAGGTGCTATGGTGGTGGCCATTGGAGAAGCTGCTACTGGAGTGTTCAGTTCATCTAACATACCATGGGCTGCCATAGAGTCAGCTGGCTACTACACGGGTGACAGAATGTGGCGATTTCCCTTATGGAACTATTATTCTTCATTAATAAATGGTACTTACCAAATAAATATTAAAAAGATACTCTAATGAACATGATATAACTGTTAGTTGATTGTATTAGAACATCATCACAAAACTAATTATTCTTGTATAACAAGTTAATACATCTTGATTAAGTGTTTATTCTATTTATGTCTCTTCAGGTTATTCTGGTTTTGATTTGGACAACATTGGGAAAGGAAAAGGTGGTGGTGCCTGTACAGCTGCAGCATTTTTAAAGGTATATGATTGATTATAAAAAAAAAAAAAATATTAAGAAAATAGGAACAATATTATCTATATTATGTATTTATGTGTAATGTACAGGAATTTGCTCCACCCGGTGATTGGATTCACATGGACATTGCTGGAGTAATGAAATCCAATGGAACAGATAATTTGTACATATCCAGTGGTATGTCTGGCAAACCTACAAGAGCTTTAGTACAGTTCATTTCAAATTTGTCAGAAAAAATTTAACCTTATACCATACAATCTTTTTGCAAAAGTTATTACTGTCGTAAATATAATTGTCGTTTTACTTATTTTCAATTGTTTGTAATAAAACTAATTATTAAATTTCTTGGTTAGTTGCTTATTTATTACTTGTATAAATGTAAAATAGACCATAGTTTACACTGAACAGCCAACCTAAAATGTTATGAAAAGAAAAAAAATAGGTCTGTTCCGCTGTTTATTATTTATAACTACTGAATGATAATATTTATTTTATTGACTAATGGCAACTTAGGTTGTTGATTATGTGTCAATTTGAATACTCTAGAAATCTCAATCAATACATAAAATAAATGAAAATGTTCATAGAATACCGAAAAGATAACACTGTTTAACAATGAAACAAAAAATATGGTTTTTATTTTTAAATCTCCCTAAACGTCAAATAATAGTGCATCAATATACATATTACATAATATTCTGTGTTAGGTAAATTAAATCAACTTTATTTGGGATTGTATTCATTTTTCACAATACATTTTTGTGAAATGGGTGACTGGTCATTTGGATTAAACGGTTATCAAATTTCAAAATAAAAGTATGAATTCAAAGTGTTAAAACAAATTGTTCCTATTTGTGTAAAGTTGATCAAGGGTAATATAAAACTATATAATGAACTATAATAACTATGACTATATAAACTATATTGTCCTACCTAATAAGTTAATATTGTGGTATACTTTGAAAAAAAAAAATGTTTAATTTAGCAACAGCTCATTAATAAACGTGTACTAGATATTCTATATATATAAAAGACAAAAAATGTTTGCACCCAATTCCTTTATGCATTCCTAAACCCTTCAGCTGAATGCGATTTTTTTTTTGTACAGATAATAGATATAGATTAGACCACGGGGAAGAAGATAAGCTACATTTTTTCTCTAAAAAGGTAGATAATAGGTCCAAAACGGGAGGTTCTCAAACAAGGTATTTAAAAATGGGTGTCGAGTTCAAACTACGGTTCGGAGGGAAAAATTTTTTGTATTGTTTTTACATTGCATTAATATGCAGTAATCCGAGTTTATAATTGACCAGCCGTGATGCAACAACACGCTTCTACATCAACTGTATAATGTTAATACTTCTTAAAATTATTTAGAAATTTAATGTGAAACATGCATTTTAGATAAATTTACACTTTTATTTTATTATTTATACTAGTACCTACTACCTAGGTATGTTTATTATTAATCAAAAATAATTTTTTTACATTAGTCGATCCTAAAAGAAAAAGAATACTCAGTAGATCTTAATCAAAAAAAATTTGGTATCCCTGCACAAGGTTATTTTTCGGGAGGCTATGGCCCCCAAGCACCCCTTAATCACAGAAAGTGAAGTTCGTGCAAAAATTGTTTGTTTTGCTGATGAGTGATGACACGTAATTTGCCTTCATGATAAAAATAATAAAAATGTATCTGGTACTAAAGCAAATATCACCTTTAATTATAATCTCCATAAAATCTTGGTTTGATAATAATTTACTCGAAATAAATTTAAATAAAACCAAAAATGGGGGACGGAGTGGCCGAGAGGACTAAGGCGTCGGTTGCGACTCACATCGATGCCGATGACCTCGGCCATGGGTGGAATTTTTCTTCTGTCAAGTCACATTGTCCGGAGAAGTGCCGCCATCCCCCACCCGAGCATGGCAGATACCTACGTATGCCCGTAAATCAAAAATTTTGCCAAAACAAACACACACGTGTCCCCCCCCTACCAACAAAAACCTACGAACAAAAATAGCTAATGGCCTAAGTTGCCGGGCTCAAGTTCAATAAAAAAAAAAAAAACCAAACATATTGTTTTCAATATTCCAATTATTACTTATTAAAGAAATTAAAAAATGTGTGTTCATTCGTCATTATGTTCATAGAATAAATATCAAGACAGTGTTCGTGTATAATATGCGCGTTGACAAAGTTAATTGTACCTATACGGCTTTACATATTGATTCGTAATTTAAATGAAAAAGCACATAGATTATATTATTATAATTTATAGGGTACCTAAAGTACTAATTTGTATAACTTTTTTTACATTTTTCAACATTTTAGTGATGAAACAATAAAAATGTTTTCCTGCGCTTATGAAAACTATTGGAAATTTTAAATTTTGACCTCCCGAAATAGATTCACTTTCCAAACGAACAAGATACTGAAGTTAAAAATCGAAGCATTATTTCGTCCACTTATCGTACAGAAACAAAAAAAATTCAAAGTAAAAAACACATAATTATAAAATCAATACATTCATCGATCCGCTCTGACTCTAAATTGACTTTAGTTTTTTTAATAACTAATTTGGTTTATTATAAATGGTATTATAAATGTACCTATTGAACAGCCACTTTTTAAATATATTATGCAAATATGGTTTATTTATGTTACATTATTTGATCGTAATGAACGTTATTTGAATACTATAAGTATATAACTAATATAAGTGACTGAGAAGGTTTGTTTTTATTCGGTATTTTTATTCAGTGACGTTGAGCGAAGAGAATACGTGTAACAGGGACCTATGCTGTGCGTAATGGTTGTTGAACGTCAAACGAGCAGTACCTATCGCCGCGCCGGCTGCGTCGACGACGCCGCCGCCTAAATTGAAGAAGAGCAGCCCATGCGACCCTGGTATGCCAGTCCTGTAACGACAACCCAGCACAATATTATGCGTATCAAATATGGAAAACGAGACCCAAAAACTAGACACTGCTGGCCGCCTGCACAAAAGTTGGTTCTATAAAACATTGCACACTAATTAGTAATTTCTCCACCAGTCTGCGTGGCGGTCAAATCCGAGACTGGCTCGGTGTATATAATATTATAATATTAACCCGTATTATATAGGGACATACTCAACTTTATTACCTTTAAAAAATTATAATTAAAAAAAGGTGGGCAAGTGGGTGTCGCTCTGCTGTACAGTAGGTTACAACTTACAAGTCTGTCACTGTATAATGGATAGTATTAAATTTGAATTCAATGATATAATATCATTGTATAAGAAAAAAGATTCTGAGCGGAGACGGTATGTCAGTCTAGGTATAAGACATATTATAATATACATATCTATGGTATTAAACAAAAAATTGACCTATAATGAATTCCAAATTAATCATATCACAATATCCATTAGGTACTTATAATGCTTTATACATCAACAACAAACCCTGATACTTTCATAGATATATAATAGTACACTTTAGAAGTTTCAAGTACCCACGAATAATATTATTCAATCACAACAAAGTAGGTAACTAAAATAGTTATTCTAGGTTTTTTATTATGTAATTTCGTACAAATTTGAATTTAAAATGTCTGTAAAAAATAAGTGTGTTCATATATTTTTTTAGATTTTTTGGTTACAGTATGAACTATTTATGAGAACCTTTGTTTTAAATTTGCAATTCTTAGCTATACAAACAGAACATTTTATAATTTATTAATTACAATGATTGATAATTTTCGAGATTTTGATACATTTTGTCAAAATTCCAACTTTAAATGCTTATATAAAAAAAAGTTGACTAAGGATTTTTAATATTTTTCATCTGCCTTTGAAACAATATATTAGGAGCCTTCTATTAAATTTTCAAGCTTTCGCAAACAACAAATAAAATTTTATTGATATTTTTAGAAAAAAAACTAAAAAAAAAATGGAAAATGAAAATGTCCCTAAACAGTTCAAAATAAATCAAAATATTTTGAAAATGTTATCGTGTATAGAAAATGCAAATATAAACAACTAGTGAAAATTTCATGTATATAGTATCATTTATAGTTCATTTATTTTAGAGTTACACCAAAAACCAAAATCGATATTCTCGAAAACAGATTTTGCGTAAAAATTCCGTTTTTCCTTAATTTTTCTTTTGTTTTTCACGGCGCTTTTAAAAACTACTGAGATTTTTACTTTTGACCCCCCAAAGTACCAACTAGATTCACTTTCCTATCAGAAAAGCTACTGTTGAAGAAATCCAAGCACTTTTACTGTCCTAAAACGTGATGACAGACACAAAAATTAAAAAAAATAATAAATAAATAAATAAATAAATAAATAAAAAAACACACATCATTGTAAAATCAAAAGATTCATCGTTTCACTCAGAATCTAAAAATATAAATCATATTTAAATTATAATTACACCATCGTATTCAGCGCAAATTTATCTTTAAGAATAAATTACAAAAAAAATATTAATATTCTATATTTACGTTATAAATTTTATTATTAAATTAAGTATTTTCATTATTTATATAAAGACAAGAAATGTATTAGGTATACTGGTGCATATTATTTTCTAGTGGTAGATTCATATTTAAAATACCGATTGGCGATTAATTACGCCAATACGCCAAATTGAGGAAATATTGAAATTTTAAATATGTCTTCCTAGCTTAAGACAGTGGCGTCATTTCAGTTTTCAATAGAGGGGGGCAAAGGTTTTGACCGGCCCGAATAGGTAAAAAAAAACCGCTCTCTTCGCTCGTTATATTATCTACATTTTTTTATGCAACCCTTTTTATTAACTAGGTAATATCATTTTTAAATAGAAGGTGGCGGATATTTTATAAAAAACAATTGTACACCTACATCAATTAAAACTTAAAAGTCTACAAACATAATATAGCAATATTTATTGATAAACAAAAATATTAGTAGCTTATTAAAGGATACCATCTTCTTTTTTTTTATTTTATGAAAATATATCAACTGCATCATCTATAAATCAATTTTACCTGATTCATCACTTATCAGTTATCACCTATACTCTATAATGTATACGATATATTTTCAAATTATTATTATTTTAAATTATAATATTTTTTTTTTTATATTCCTTGCTTAGTGCTTACTGGTTTAAGTTTCGTATTTTTATTAAACATACCAGAAATTGTTTTCGATTCTTGAGCGGTTTGCGGTAATTTTATATTTTTAACCGCACCACCCATTTACTTTTTTTTTAGTCATATTTTGCTCAAATTGAAAGATTAATGTAAACACTAAACACGCGTCACGAAAAAAATAAATTTTAATTTAGGTAGGATAAGGTACACTACAGGGCCAGATTGACCCGGCGAGTTACCGATGTAAAACTCAGTGGGCCACGACAATTTTTGGGCCGTTCAAGTCATGATGGGCCGCATTGACTAAAAATATGTTAAGAGTTAAAAGTTGAAGAAATGGAGACTATAAAATAAAATAACTATGCACGGAATAAGAGCGTACCCAAGGGCCGCCAGTTTTTAAGTGGGTTGGTAAAGTACGGAAAACTCGGTGGGCCGAATTTGTCCAACCCGGCCTGGTACACAACACAATACGCAGAATAGTGAATAGTTTACCATACACGACTGTCGCAACTCGTAAGTAACTGCGTATGAAGTCTGGTATCATGGACAATGATTAATTAATAAGAGTGCCAATCGGTGTTGTTTTTAGAATTTGTATTAATTTTAGATTTTAGAAATAAAACTATACGGGATTACGATACTCATTATTATTATTGTTATACACTCACACAAACAAACATACCTACATACAATGTGTACCTACGTCCCCGCATACGTCTAAATATAAATATATTCCAACTATCAATTATTAGAAAAAATGTATCATTGTGACAATAATTTCTGAGTACATAGGTAGTATAATATTTTCTGAAAATATTATAAAATAGACATGTTTTTCCGCTCAGAATCGTTTTTCTTATACAATGATATTATATCGTTGAATTCAAATTTAATATCATCCATTATACAGTGACCCACTTGTAACCTACTGTACAGCAGAGCGATACCCACTTGCGCACCATTTTTAATAATGCGCATGTGTTTTATTGTAAAAAGACTAAAGATCCAATTATAAAGATACCTACTAAGATTAGTAAAGAAAAAACAAAAAAACAGGAAAATATCCAAACCGTAGTAAATAATAATAATAATAATAATAATAATGTAAAATAAGTATTACCTAATAATTATTTAGGAAACCGAAATAGTTTACCCATTTTTACTATTTATATGTACATTTGAACGGTTTTATTTCAAAATAAAATTTGATAAATGTTGTAAAAAATTGAACTTTAAATACTTATAAAACAAAATTGTGCCTATATATTTTTAAAATTGTTCAACTACTATTTTAACAATCATCAATATATCGGGAGCCTTGTAATGCTTTTTCACGCTTTTAGACGTAACAAATACAATTTTATTTACATTTATTGAAAAAGAAATAAAAAATTTGGAAACTAAAAATATCCGTAAGCGGCTCAAACCGAGTCAAAATATATTGAAAATGTTATCAACTATAGGAATTAATAAAATAAACATATTATGGTTATAAATGTTAAGACACGTAGGTTGTAGGTATCTACGGACTACGGTTATTGGTTTTGAATTACAACAAAATAAGAAAATCGTTATATGAGAAATCAGGTGAATATCCAGTTATAAAATTTGATATTCAAACGTAACAAGATACTGTTGAAGAAAATCGAATCAGTTTTACTACCCCAAACAATTATGACGGACACAAAAAAATGAAAAAAAACCCCCCACATCATTGTAAAATCAATACATTCATCGCTCCTCTCAGAATCTAAAATTACATAATATATTAATATACTATACATATATTGTCTATATTCCTACTTAACAATTATTGTAAGATATTTTGAAAATTATAATTAAATCAAAATAATTAATTATTATATTTAATTTGGAAGTCATATTAAATAGTAATCAGTAGTCAAAGTAGTCAAGACAGTATTTACTAATCTATAAAACAAAATAAGTATAATAATTAGAATAAACATAATATGGAAAAATGGTTTACAAGACATTTTAACATTTTTTAACATTTTATCACTAATAATATAATTTATGATTATGTCTAAAGTCTAACATTTATTTATAAAATTATTTAAATACAAACTTTATTTATAACTTATAGGTTTACAGACTTTATAAATATATTATACTATTATAGTATAAACTATTAACAATATTTTTATTATATTAGTAAATCAATTTTTTTTTTTTTTTTTGCTAATTCGTCCAGTACTTAGTTGGATGTTATATATTTTATAAATTATAACCAAACGATGAACAGCCGTAGTAAAAATATTACCGCTAAGTCCACAATTTGTTTTTCTGTAACAATATTAGTGATCTTACTTATTTTTCCATCCGCCGAACGTTAAGAAGTAGAGAAACTTGCATTAAAATAGCTCGACAGTAATTTAAAATTTTCCTTTTATTAGACAATATAGTAATATTGTAAAAATGTAAAATAGACAAAATATTCAATACCGATTCAATATAATTTATATTACAACTCTGAACTCAATATAAATAAAATATTAGTAAAGTTAATAATTCTAAAAATGTTGTTCGAGAGGTTCAATAAATATTGGACACCCCCCGATAAATCACCGAATCACCCAAAATACGCCACTGAGTACACTACACGGACACACAGTAGAAAACACGAGTACGAAAGTGTAAAGTCGAATCACGGTGATAACTAAATATCATGAGTTATAAGCAATAAGCAATCGATGTTTCAAGTTTTCAACCAACTAATGACCTGCGGCTGGAGGTATGTAATGTTGTATAATATTTAAATATACCTACCGATCGCACTATCACCCGAAAGGGCCAATGTTCTGGGAAAGTGTAGAGCTGGTTGTTATTGAGAATTTCTCGATCATCGAGTGGGATAATAATTCCCATATTATACTTTGTGTAAAGAACTATATATTAATAATAATAATAATATCCTAGTTCCTAGATATGAGTGTAGATAATAATATCTGATGCTTGGGTCAAAAAGGGCGAATCTCACTTTTAATTTTATTTTATTTTATTTTATTTTACAAAAAGGGCCCAATATTCACATATTAGTTCGAGATATGAGAAGGCCAATGTCATGAAAATTAAAAAATCTATGGGGCATAATATGTGAACATCAGCCTCTTTTTGTTTAAATAAAATTAAATTAAAAGTGAGATTGGCCCTTTTTGACCCAAGCCCCAAATATAGTCATGTCATATAATTTATAAACAAGTACCTATGTCGTATGTTTATACGACATATTCTGACATTCTGTCGAAATAATGTACAATTTAATGCATTATAGAATATATTTAATTATAAATTGTTATATACCCTGTGTGCAAAAATTGGTGCTATAGATGTCACATAGACTTCTCATTTAGTAATGCGAAGTTATAAATTAATGCTTATTAACTTCTTTGAGATGTACTTGGTACGCCAAACGCCAGGTTGATTGATATTATAAATACGATATTAGGTTAAGTGAGGTATCATCTACATCTCTATAATCTCGCATGGTTTTTATATTTAAGTAACAAAAGGTCAAATAGAGCTACATTTTATAGTTGAATAGACATCTGATACAGGATCTATTAGAAGTTACAAAACAACGCATTCATGTCGCATAGAAGTATACATTATCAATAATATTATAACATCTATGTGTTATCAATTAAATGCCTATATTTATATTCGCATGGATATCACAATATTAACACAATATTGAACATACTTTACATATAGATAAGTACCTATTTATATAGGTACATATAATATATAATATATATATATATTATTTGTATATAAACCTACTTATCCAACATACCTAAGTTGATTGACTTGAATATATTTGTATATTGTGTTCATATAAGAATAAATAAATTATAATAAAGTTTAATTTATTCATAATTTAATAATTAATATTTAGGTATTTAAATTGCTTATAATTGAACAACTAGGTAGGTACCTATAATATATTAATATATATAATACTATATAAAACCGCATAGCCAATAAATACAAAAGTAGATTGTAGGTAGTATGACTGACTTATATATTTTATGTAGGTACCTAGGTACTTACCGTTAAAAAAAATCTTGGTTTACATAATTTTTAAATATAAATTTAGTTTAGTTTATAGAAAAAACTACTGCAATCAATTATTGTGTATTTTTTTTTACTTTTAAAGCCTCAGTGGCTACCTATAACGTATTGCCTATTGGTATATATATATTAAAGTGATAATCGTAATTCATAACACTAATAATAGTTGAATAATAAATGTAAGAATACTAGATAGTAGGAGTTAGTAAGATTATAGCAACAATTATATACTAATTATTTTTATTAGGATAAAATGTAGTATAGGAATAATAAAAAACAACAGTATTGTCCAAGTAAATGCATAATTTTATTTAATAAAGATCATGTAACAATGTAATTGCAACTGCTTTTACATCAGAAATACTAAAAAATAAACATTTATGCTTAATATCACACATATTAATAAGAAAACTATCTGTTTCATCAAATATATCTACATAGAAGTCTCCAACAATATCAGACACTAATGGATTGTCAAAAAATGGGACTGCGTTGTATTTTACAACTTCAAAATATACACTTCCATTAGCCTTTTTTATAATTTTTTTAATACAAATAATGACATTATTTTTCAACAAAAAATACATATTTTTCTTGTTTACAGAACTCAGAATACAATTTTCAGTTATTACATTTTCATAAAGAGTATCTGTGGGATCAGGATGAATTAAATGATTATAAACTATTTCTTTTTTTAAAATTGGGTAACTAGCAATTGGTTCAACTATCTCAATTTTTGTTTGTTCTATTATTCTATTGAACACATCTTGAAGAGGAAAACGAGCATTTTTTAATGACATTTTAATCATTTGTAGGTAATTTTCAAATTTGAATGCACTAAATTTGTCCAGTGGTCCATGTATTTTTACAAAATGTGCAATATGAATTAAACCATGTACATTATATGTAATATACTCTTCACCATATAAAAAAGAATATTCTTCAACAAATTGTCTCAATAAATCATTGGCAACATCATTGTAAACCATACATGTATCACCAGATAACAGGAGTCTAATGGCGCAATGTAATAACATAAAGTGTTTGTAGAGCGATTTTTTTAATCTGCCCTTCAGTACAATAGGGCCAGAGTATAACAAAAAAGATCTGAACTCTGTCGCTTTCCAATACTCTAGTTCTTCTAAAGACCGAGGGGAACGACTAAATTCTTTGGGGAAAAATGCTTTAAGACAAATAAGCTCTGAAGAAACTTCATTAGAAATATCATCATTCAAAAATCGAACTAGTTTTTTGCCTTTTTTCCAAAATAACAATAATCTTTTAACAACGCCCAAACATATATTGTGCATATATTCTAATACCACGTTGTCTACTATATTTGTATTAAATTTGGTTAGTGGACAAAAACCTTTATGATAGTCTTCATCGTGTTGATTACGAAATGAAATATTTGTCCGTAAAGAAGAATTTAAGTCAGGAAAAGCCATTCGATTATTTAGAAAAACACCTTCGACAATACATGAATTACAGCTATGGTAGGCATTGTGTCCTTTTACATTCAAAATAAAAGCCTTTGCTGGGGCATCACAAATTACCTGGCTAATATTTAAAAAAAAAGTTTTGTTATTGATAGACAAGCCATTGACTAATAATAATTCCATTTCAGAAATGAATGGATTTAAAAAATCAGATATTGAATTTGGTTTTTTGAATTTACCATGGTAAATTCCAACAGGTACAACTATTTTAGATAATTCATGAATATCAATAAATGAAATTAATATAGGCCAAAAATTGGATTTTGAACTTTTTGTTGTAGGAAGACCATCAATATTCAAACTTAATTTAATTATAGAAGTATGTTTAATTTTATCAAAGTATTTAGTTAAGATTGGTGTGATCATGAACTCAATACCTATATGAATATACGATCCTGGTTCTATACTAATAATTTCATGTTTTTTAGGAGTTTTTAATAAGGTTCTCGAATCTTTGGGTAATTTAAGACCTTCTGATCTTAAAATTACTAAAAGCTCATTTACAAAGTTATGTGATACATGGTATTTAGAAATTAACTTTTGCAATTTATTTTCTAATGAAATTTGATCACAATCATTAACATAATTGTCACTTGCAAAATTATCTACAACACATTCAGCAGTAGTATGTACTACTGTAGTACTAGTTGAGTTAGTTTTTGAAAGGCTAATATCTGAACATACGGTCATTTCTGTAGTATCTTCAGACAATGTTGTTACTGGAGTGAAGTTATTTGAGAATTCCTCCTCTGGTTTTGTTGTTACTTCCATGCTGATACAACCCGAGTCCTTTTCGAGTGGATTAGCTGGTTTAATATTTATAGATAGCATAGTACGTTGAAATTGTCTTCTTGACATTGCATGAATTTCTTTTCTTTTTTTCAACTATAGTTAAAACAATAAATTGTATTATTAATAATCAAGAGTGATGCATTTTAATTAAATTGCATAAATTGCATTAAATGCATTTTAATTATGGAGTACATAAGTGAAGCAAGTCTCAAACTAAATATTTGTTTTAATTATTATTATATTTAAATATAACTGTGCACTAATTAATGTATTCGATGTTAATCTGCTAATAAATAATATAATATAATTATATATCATTTTGGTAACATTTTAGTTAATATGTATTAAGTATTTGTAATGCTCAAGTGTATGTATATTATATTAAAAAATCTGGAAAAATAATCCCTTTAGTAGGCATCTAACATATTATAATTAAAAAGGTTCGTTTGAATCATCTTTTTTATCAACAATTAAATTGTTATTGCTATACTATATCATAAGTGTTCCCACCATTCAATAGAGGGTACAGTTTAAAAAGTTTATTAGATTACAATTATACACACCATAATTATTATATACGATATAGAGTATTGAATATTATTTAGATGTATTTATTGTTTTCTCTCTTGTGAATCTTTGATTACCATGACGAAACCATTCTTTCACATGTTCTTCGAAAACCACATCAGTATAACTAAAATTAATTCTACCTATTTCTGTGAAAAAAATAAACAAGATTTTTAAAATAAGATACAATAATTTTTGTTTTTAAACAATAACTTTAATTTACCTTTCATTATGTTAATTATTTTAAGATTTTCAAGGCGGAAATTATTTCGAAATCCGGTCCATGAGCATTTTGATGAAAGCTCATTTGTAAATAAGCGTTGTAAAATGCGCTTAACAAAATTTTTAATATTCTTACCGCCAATAGTAGAAATGAAATTTATCTATGAATCAAACATTATATTTATTTATGAGAATAATTTAGAAAAAGAAATTACTAGGATACCATTTTCTTCTCAAACTGCTCATCATTTCTTATTTTTTCATCAATATTTATAATATTTTGAAAGTCACTAATAGGAAATATAGAAAAACTATCATCCAATGATTGTTTATTAGCTGGACTAGTTGATGAATCTACTAAATATTTTTCGATTCTATCCATTCTTCCATCAAGTCGTTTAATATAACTGTAAATATTTCTGAGAAGAATTATTTCAGCAGTTTCTACTAAAAAAGCTCACAAAAAATAAAATATTAATACCTACACAATTTAAATATTTATTGAAATAGATTAAAAAATAGAAATATTTTATTTATTTAGTAGGTATTCATTACCAGGTTCATCTGAAACTATGTTATGGTTTACAATATTTGATAAATCCTGCACTGAATGTGCGCTTAGACAAGACAAGTTGAAGTTGTCTTGTTGAGACGTTTCGTTCAAGTTTATTTGTTCACTATAACTTTGATCTATAGAAATAATATTATTAAAAAATTAGTTAAATGATTTTATGATTATTATTTGGTACTGAATAATATGAACCAATAGCATAATGTGTTTAAAGATTGTTAATATAATATATAAGATAAATTGATGAACACTAAAAAAAAAACAGTAAGGAAAACAGTATGAATTAATAATATTCATTACAGTAGATAATTGACAAATATACTTTCCAGGGTTATCAAATACAGAAATCATTTCACTAATTGTTTTAATACTCTGTGGCACAGATGAAAATATATGTGAATTACTATTGCTTTCATATACATTTGGATTGTTCATGACATTGTGTCCTGATTCGGACATCTGAGAATTGTCATCAATATTTTGAAGCGTATTTATCATATCTGCAAATAATTCATTACTTAATTTAAAATTAAATCCTTTTATATTTTTTATTTTATGCATAAAGATAGAAAGTACATACATGGTATGCTGCAATTATTAATATTGCTATTAGATACAGCTGCAGGCTCACCAGAGCCTATTGTGGAATTTGAGTTCAATACATTTCGGTCTTGATTACGAAGAATACTTTTACTTGGGCTTTTACTGGACGTTTTAGAAGGATTAATAATATGGCCAATTTTTATAGGAGAATCGCAAATATCTAAAAATTACATTTCATGAGTTAACTTATTTTATTGAATTTATATAAAATAATAAGCATTCATCTACCACTGTCAGTATCTTCATTGTTCTTTTTTAAATCTTTTCTTTTCCTTTTTCCTCGCCCAAGACTTCTTTCAGATTCTGATAAAAATATTTCCCTTTCTTTTTGTATTGCTCTATCATACGAATCTATATATATTTAAAATTATGCTGAATAAAATAAAACAATAAGGTAAATCAAAATCACAATAAAACATACCATAACTTTCACCAATAATATTTACTGGGAAAGATGACCAGTCTACGTTTGGTTCATCTGCTTTTATTATCATTAAAGCAGTAACTCTTTGTTTATTTGGCCATCGACAGAAATCACCTGTACGGGTACTAAAAGTCCAATTACTTGGAATAACAGAATATTTGTTTTCATCTTCAAAAAATCCTATTTTCCACTAAAAATATTAAAATAAAATTAATAATTATGTGCATAGTTTGCCGGTATATCTAAAATTAATTAGTTTAACTGTCAAAGACTAAGACAACTATTTATTTGAGTATTCTTTGTTTTCCTTATAAGTGTTTACTAGATGAGTACCTCGATGAGTACTTAACTTAAAAATCAATGGTTTTCACAAAATTATTTTTCACCATAACTTTTCAAATGTTGAAATAGGTACATACTTAGGTATTGTTTTAAAAAAAAGAAAAACTAATATTTACTTATAATAGCTATTATTCGCTCTACCTATAACTTTTATTTGAATCGTACCTAGGTATTTTAAAAGGTTTTTATATGCAGGGTTGTAATATATTAATTAGGTAGGTATCTACTTGGTATACCTATACTCAGATTCATGCATCAATGGATAGGTGTCAATAGGTATGCAGAGGCTAGAGAGGACTGATTCAGTAAAAGAATCTGTAGAAGACCTAGGTGTATATTGATTACTGATTAGGTATTAAGTATTAAATAATATGTAAAAACATTTTAGTTATGACAGTTGCCCCAATTCAGTGTCTTTATGAGGAGGGACAGTGACGTATGGATTGCTCTTTCCTTGGACATTTTATTTTATATATACCTATTTCACTTTACATAATTTTTCAATACTTCCATCACTCTACTTCGAGGTGTAAAGGCCTCTTCTGAAATGACTAATGAGGAAATTAACCTATACCTGTGTTAACGTCACCATACACTGCAGTGGTGGCAGTAAAATTCTATTGTCTTGGCAATTGTGCCAGGCTTCATTTTATATCTATAGCTGCAGTGTGTGGAGAGTGGTGACGAGGACCTTTACATGTATGATTTAAAATATTATCTAATATGATTTTTAATTACCTGTTTTTTTACTGGATCCATATTGTAATTTTCCTTTTTGAGGATATCACTCACGTCGTTACTCGTTACACGATACTAGAAAAAAACTAGTCGATAAGTACACGTAACAGTACTCAAACACGGTGATCAGCGTGAATCAGGATCCGGAGTTGTGACTTGTGAGACACAAAACGAATGTGTAACTGTAACAACTAACAATTAAACAATATAATATTTTGAAACGAGTGAAACGCAACTACGCAAGTACGCACCGTGTTAAGAACTAAACAATAGTATTATATTGCTATTACCAAATAAGTCGAATAAAAACAACTAAAAATAGCGGTAATGATAAATGATAATATATTAATAATACTTAAATACCCTCTCTGGCTCTTTTATAAATATCATGCTGTTATTATTGTACTGCGATAATGCGATGTGTATGTGACTTCCAAAAGAAGTTGGGGAATTAATTTTAATTATAATTAGATTTATAAATATAATTTACTATTTTTATTATTTAAAAATACCCAAGTACCATACATATCAAGATTTGCGACAACCTGGAGACGTTATATTATAAATCTTATTACGACTAACTAGTATGAGAGTTTCATTTTGAAACTTGTTATAGATTATGTTTATGTGATATTAATGGGATGTTATGTTGTGATCTTCGAATAATTAAACCTCTCTATAACTTTAAAATGTAAAATAATATGGAACTTTTATTTTGCACACAATATTGACTTCCTGGAGAAGTTAAATTCAAAATAAATATAATTTGTACTTCTATGCGAGATACATTTTAGGACTTCCCATAGTCAACATAATTATTACATCTCTTATATACAACATCATTAATAATTATTTTAAAATGTATCGTTAATTAACTATAGAAGTAAAATTGTGAGGTTACAATTAAGAATTAAAATCACTATCGCCGAGAACTAATGTTCATCATTTTGCACACATGGTATATTGAAAAAAAATTCATGTTGAGGATCTATCCCCCTCACCACCTCCCACCACCGTTTGACCACCACTGCCTTATTCTAGTATAAGGTCTATGGCTTCAATACTTAATTATCGTGCCTATTATTATAAGTATTATAATATCATGGTTCATGTCTTCATGAGTACTTCTTACAAGTTTCAAATGTGAAATTAATTTAATTAAAGAATAAACTTGAATAAACTATTACCATGATTACATATTACTAATATTTAGTTTATTTATAATCAATGGTGTTATTAATATATAGTAACTCGTCTGGTTTTTGATATAAACGTTTTCGTCATGAACTTACTGTTCTCGTTATATTGATTTATTGTGATAATTAATAAATAATACATCGTAACGCAATAATTTGCCGTCCCCACACCTACATACATTGCTGACCATAGATCATGTATATGGTTGCTGACCATTTTCTATAGTGATAGGGATTAGGATAGATAACAAATGATTACATTTACGAATGATATCTACACAGTTTTTTATATTGTTTACTGTTTGCCATTTGGTATTGGTACCTACAGCTGCAGCTTAGATGTCTCGAATTAGTCGGATGTCAAATCTCAATAGTCGATTTAGTTATTAGTATATGACTATGAACTAACTATTCATTATTATCTTAGTTCATGCTTTATTATTATAATACATCAAGGTTATCTATAAGTAATAGAATCAATAGCTGATGTTGAGTGTTGGCTTCGAAAAGTACACACTTAAGTTGTAATATTCACATAATGGCGTTGTTATACAAGTAATAGGTATGATGACTTCATCGGCACAGAGTACAAGATATCATTAAGACCTAAAATGCAATTTGCACATTATAAAGGTAACATATCGAACTATTAATTATTTAATAAGACAATGATGTTTTATTGAAGTATTAATAATTACCTAGTATATAATTAATTTATTAATTTAAATGTTTTATGATATTAACACTCTTAAATATACTCAGAAATCAGAATTATTATAGACCCTTGAGCAAACGTTTTACTTTTATAATATGCATATCTATCATACAGTCATACTTAAAGATTCAAATAAATAATTTAAAAAAATTAAGTTTGAGTAAATTTGCCATTTATTAAAATAATGTATAGTAAACTACTCAACACATAAACTGCATAAGAAAAGCATATTATAATATTTCTAGGTATGTGAGAAATATAATATTAATACCTATGCACTAGGAAATAATATAGGTACTATAAATAAATAATAACCATTTTGTATTAGGTAGGTACCTATGTGTTTATAAAAAATAAAATGGTTACCTAGTCAATATTGATAATAGTTTATATAAAATAAATCAATGAATGATGTACTTATTATAAGTTTTTAAGGTTAGGCACATATATTCAAATGATTCAATATTAAGATAGTTTTGTTATATTTTATTTCAAAATATTGTTTTTTAATAAACAAAACAAAGTTTAATAATATAGACAACTGAGGGCCAGTATTACCATCTCCAGTTAAATTTAACGGACTCCTAACCAGTGGAATTCGGCCGGTAATAAAATCTGTTATCAGTTGGTTAAGCGTAATCGAAGTGTAATCAATGATTGTAATACTGGCCCTGAGGCAGTAATAAAATAATTGCTTATTAAAAATGATTTCTAAATTGATTACCTATTAATTATATTTTTCTTTATACTCTATAGTCTGTAAGTGTAAACAAAATGTTTTTTAAAATTATTCATTGAGTTTAGTTATTGAAAAATTTAAAATACATACCAAATTTATACTTGTAAATTGGTTTAAAACCCTATTTAAAATACATTTTTATTGTCTCGGATATGCCTACCTATTCTACTAAACTGTTTGCTTACTATTTTATACATATTATAATATAACTTAATGTCAAGTTTAATGTATGAAAAAAATTATTTTAGCTTTTATCAGAAAATTTTGTATTTGCAAGTCTACTTCTGAATACTCTCAGTCTCCTTTATAGTTAATAACGAGGTTAGTGATCAACGAATCCTAATATAGGTATTTTTTTAAACGTTCTAATGCTAAAAATCATTGCTTTGCAAAATTAAAAAAATACAAAAATACACTATTTAATTAGTAATACCCGAAATTCATTTTTTCTGTTGTAATACGCCAAAATAAATAAATTACATACAAATATTAAATCAATTTATTATTTTACAAAAGTTATTCTATACAAATTTATCATCTATTTATTCATGTGCAAATTGATGACTCCAAAATTGTATTAGGTATGCATTGACAATTTTTCGTAAAATATTTTCCAAAACAATTTAATTACTCTAGAGCTTATAAACTTAATTATAATGTATTTATGTGTTATAAATTGTTTGTTTTCTTGATTTTAATATTTGATGCTGGAATTTTATTTTTTTATTATAACTTCTAAATTATTATATTTGTGTTTTTTTAGGTAAATACTCGGTGAAATGCAGTTCCAATTACAATATTTGTTAAGTGGTTTTACTATATAATCATGAATCATCAGATTAGAAAAGAATTAGACTAAATTAAATAATACACTCCAGTAAGAATAACATTACACTAAAATGGAACAAAATACTATGGAGGTAGTTAACGATAATGCATCAGATGAACAAGCTGATGTTGAAATGGAACATCAGTATGAAAAAGATAATGAGTGTAAAGAAGAAAAACAAGGGTCACTTGTTAGTTTAAATGAATTAACAGAAAAATGTTGTGATACTAAAGATGAACTACGGGAAATAAATGAACATATTAGCAATGAAAATAATGAATATGTAAACAGCGCAGATGTTATGCAATCACAACAATTAAAAAGTGACCCATCATGTGAAAATATAAGTGAAATTGAAATTATACCAGAATTAAATGATGTTATTGGTCATGAATTAGAAGCTGAACACGATTTTGAATTTGTTGTTGAGCAAACTGAGAATTTTGATTTAAGCTGTGATGAAACCAATATAATTTCACCTGGTTTTTCTGATTCACTTTATACGGAGAGTTTTTATTGTTCACTTTATTCAACTAGTTTATCTAGCCCATCTAGTAATTCTCATTTTTCTTGTTTGCCTGGAACATCAAATGAACATTCAGAATATGGTTTAACTAATGAAGAAGATTTTTTGTTTAATTATCTTGAACCAATATCAGAGTCTAATGAAATAATCGAAACAAAAAAAGATGTTGAGAATTTTGAAACATTGTCATTAGTAAAGCGTAATCATATTGACGATACATTTGAAAAAAAAAAGTTAATAGAATGCGATCTTTTACAATATGTATTAGAAAATGTAAAATTTGAAGATAATAATGAAGCTCAAAATAATTCTGAATGTTTTGTAGGAGACAAAATAATTATTAACCCTGATTTAATGTACAATATTGAACTTAAATTACATCTTAAAAAAATGCAACTCTTAGCTGAACAAGTTTTTAAAACACCTGATGACTTAACAGTATTAAATAAATGTATGGAATTAATGTCAATCCCTGAAATGAAAAAAGGGCGACAAATAATAACTGAAGAATGTAGACCACTTTCAGATATTTCTGAATCAAATTATTATAATATTCAACACAAGGACTGGAATAAAATAATAGTCAATCAAGCAGTAGTGCTCTCTCATTCCGGATTTGATTTTGCTTCAAAAGACACTTTATATCTTATAAGAGACGAAGCTGTCAATTACATAAAAAGATTAGCTGGTATTATGAAAAAAAATTTTGATACTCAATCAAATAGCTCTTCTCCAAGTAATATTGATCCAATTCAGAATAGTCTTCAAGAGGTGAATTTAAACATTGTTTAATTAAACTTACAAAATAGATTTTTTATATGTAATTGATAATATCTATTAATCGATATTTAATCAGAAATAACCTATTATTTACAATTAATTTATTACAATTTTAATATCATATTATTCCCTTTTACTGTTTATCTAGTTAATTTGTTATTATTTGACTATGATACTATTTCAATTTATATTAAAAATATAATTAATAATTTTGATTTTTTTTAAATAACTGCTATTGTAAATTGATACTTTTATAGCATATTGTAACGTTCATTACTCGTTATCATTTAAATTAAATGTATAATTTTAACAGTGACAGGAAAGTTCTTTTTAAAAACCAACTAACCAGACATTAAATGTGAACTAGTTCAAATTCTAGTTAATTGTTTTCAAAATTAACAAGTTCATCAAATTGAAATAGAAGTAAATTATTTAAATATAATATTAAAATTACCTCCATTGAAACAAAATTTATGAACTATGAAATATTTGTTATAACAGATCAATTTAAAAATATAGTATTTAGTATTTAACATAATAGCTGGTTGTCAATAACAAAATTGAAAATAGTTAGGTGTTTATCGCATGTGAACGCATTCTTTTGCATCATTGATTTTTATAAATAATAATGTATTCTGTAATAATAAGTATCTAATTACTTGGTTAAAAAATATTGAATTACTAATTTCTATATTTTTAATTTGTTTCAGATGGGCATGAAAGATGGCATGGCAGAATTGATCAAATATTATGAAAATGATGTATTTGGTAGGCGTAAAAGGTTATTGAAGGAATGTGAACACTTTCAATCAACAATTAATCAGTTTGTAAAACGTTCATTATTAACTTCTACGGTTAAAAACAAATATGATAATCAAGAACTTTTTGTTGAAGAACAATCAACTAGTAAAATAAATGCTATAGAGGAGAATGTATTCACAGATAAAAAATCATCCACAAGTACTGAATCTGGGCATATTGATAACATGGACGCAGATCCAGTAAAATCTGAATATATTAAGACTGATACATTTGATGTTTATAATAGAAAGATGTACTATACAAAATGTTTGAACACTGATGTACAATTTAACGATCTCTTGAAATGTTCACATATGATATCTGAACCCTCAAACAGCTCAAACTCTAAATTAGATTCATTTACAAAAAAAAAATCATTTTTAAGTACTGATAATTCATCCAAAAGACAGACGGAAAAAAGTAATAACCTTCCGAAAAATGTAAAACTTTCTGATGTACTTAAGTCTGGTAATACTTTTGGTGCAACTGAAAATAACATCAATATGTCAAAAATCCAATCTACCTCAACTTTTAATAAAACTATTCCTAATTCTGTTAAATCTATTGGATTAGATCAAGCAGCTTTCCAAAAAATTATTGATGAATTTAAAGGAAATTTCAAACATGAATCTGTTTACGATAACAGTTCAAAAAATATTCGTTTCAAAAATAATCCAGATATCGATGATGCAATGAATGGAGATTATTCAGATGATCCCAGGTGTGAACCAGAATAATAATTTACAATCATAATTCAAAAGTCTTAAAAGTACTCCAAATTCACATGGGTTGTTTCCAGTCTAAAATTATTTTTAAATATGTACAGAAATCCGAAAGCACGGTTGTGCACAATATTTGTTGAAATTTAACTATTTAATAGTTGTTACACTTTTTATATCTTAATTTAAAGTCAAAATCTAATAATATTGCTAAAATGATAGGGCCAAATAATTTTGGCTTAAGCTGTTTAGCCCCACCCTTTTGATAACAAATTTACACCATGACGAATTAGTATTCAGCAGAACCAATTTTGTGTTGTTTAGAGTAAAATTTACCAATTATGTAATTTAAAGGTAAGAACATTATCTGTGTTTGTATGATATTTAGTGATATTTATTTATTTATTTTATGATATTTATATTATCATTTTTATATTGTAATTTTTTTTTCAATATTTTTTGTTTCATTAGTTTTAATTTAGAAAAAAACTGGAGTTTATTTTAAAATAATTAATAAGTGCCTTGTAACAAAAAATTTAATACAATTATAATCACAATATTAAAACCTCCACACAATGCAGCTTTGACTTTGAGGTAAATTGAGTCAGGACACAATTTACTGCCACTGCTGCAGTGTGGGGGGACTTCAAGCATTATTGTTGTATATTGATAAATGTGACCATAAAAATTATAATACGTCATGATATATTCAATAATTCTTATTATTTATTTACTTTTTGTAGGTAATACATTAATTGTCTATGATATATTTTCTGCAGATAATCATTAAAATTTTTAATTTATTATTATTTAAAATTATAAAAATAATGTAGGCAGTATGATATCTTTTTATATAATTTCTTAAATATCACTCAATGTATATTATTTAAAGATGCATAATTTGTTAGTTAAATTAAAAAATATTTTAATGATAATTAAACTAAATGATAAAACCTTTATTCTATACTTCTTTACTTCTCAGTTCTTATATTATGGTTATCATTAAAAATGTGGTTTTTGTAGTTGCAAAACAGCTACTAGGATTTACAAGTTTCTTTTCTAAATTTTATTTAATAAGTACAGCATGTAATCAAATACAGCAATAGCAGTAAAATGTATGCAGCAGGAAAATTTTTAAAAAATATTAATTAGTTTATCTAAATTTGCGTTATATCTTGTTAGTTGTTGTTTGTTATAAATTTTATTTAAAGCATTTCTAAAATATTATAATAAAATATTTAATTTTATATTTATGATTTATTAATAGATATAATAATTTTAATAACTTACATAGTTACATAGTGTTGGGTAAATTACTTTACTCATTACTTCAAATATTTTTATTTAAATTACATTTACGTTACCTACAATTATTTTTGTCACGTTTCATTAATAAAGTAGTGCGTTACAAATAACATTACTTTTTTTATAATTTTGTTTTTAACCATATTTAATTCAATTATTATGTATATATTTTACAATCATAGAACTATTGATAATATATAATACCTATATAATAATAATAATACCTATTAAAGTATTATGTACAAATGTACAATCATCTCACCTATATAGCTAGTCATAAGTCATAAATCATAATTTATTTTTATTTTTAAACCAAACTCTTTTCTTTCTGCTTATAAAGTGATAACTTTTATTCCTGAAATGTTTAATAATATTGTTTACTATAATCGGAATCAAAAATTAATATAATTGATTTTTAATGTTTCTGGGATATCCTATAGGCAGTTTTTGTAATACTTTCAAAATTATTATTTTAATAACGTGTAAAATAACGCGTTAGTGCGTAACTTTATAGAAATTACTTTACAAAAGTAATTTAGTTACTATTGAGTTACCTTAAGTAAAATATAATGAAATAATTGTTGCGTTACACTAATTTGTAATTTGCATTACATTACTACCAACACTGGTTACATATTATTGCTATAACGTTGAGCTGTTAATAATACATTTAATACCTATATCAATACTTTTATTTTTTTTAATTATAGCTAAATATTATTAACATGACATTTTAATTAATTGAATTAGATTTATACCAAATTTTTTTCTAAGAATGACTGTTATCGTGCGATGTTCAGAAAAACTTGGGAAATGTCTACAATTTATGTAAGGGTTTAAAACTAAATTGAGGGTTGTGTGTTTCATACAAAATATCAATTAATACTTGTCTCCTAAGTATTGAGAAAAGATTAATTTAGCCAATTTTCTTACTCACTATAATCACAAGTTACTTACATACAATATAAAAATAGATAAAAAAAATTAATACTGAGATTTATGTAATTATTTTATTTTAAAATAAATATAGAAAGGATATTAATATGTAAATTAGCTTCATAAAAAAAATATCAAAAATAATGTTTACAATAACTGAATTTTAATAAATAATAATGCAAAGTAGTATAAATAACTGTTTTATTTACAAAAAAAATATATTAATGAAGACACACAGCTTCATTTTATGTAGTGGTTGATTGTTCTTCATCAGGTTTAACAGGTGAGTTTACTTGAGCAGCAGCCATTTGCAATGCTTTTGCTTTTGCATATCTATTATTTGCTAGCCAATCTAAAAATGTGGCTCTATAAAAAATGTTACTGTTAATTCAAAGTTTTATTAGTGTTATAAAATGATATATACATACTTGCAGTGCTTATACGTGCAACTAACACTACAATATTCATTGTCCCATTCTGGATGTTGAACAGCTGCATTATTGCATCCTTCTGCTATGCACACATCTTGGGATTTAAGTTCAGGAGTAGTAGTACTGATGACTCCTAAAAAAAATATATATATATATATAATACAACATAATATTATACACACAAGAGAATAAAATGAATAGACACAATTTTTTATGAATGATAAAGAATGTTTTATTTTTTTGCGAAAAATATGTTATAAAACTTAGAGGTATATCTGTTATATGATTATATTAGTAGTTGTTTCAACCGACTTCGCAATGGAAAAAAAAAACACACCTAGAATTTAGTATTACGTAGATCGGTGTAGATTACGTAGAAATTTTATCGATAATGCAATTTATATGATTCAGCTAGTTGTGACTCGTGGTACAAAAATAAAGTGATCGGTACTTTATATAAATCTCATGTATTTAATCCTAAAACTATGTATGAAGTAACAAAATTTATATTAATCTGTAGTTTATAATTTCGGTCAGTCTTAATTTACGATATGGTGCGTAAACGATTATATTATAATCAGTGCATGTACATTTATCGCAAACAACAGACATTAAACGTTTATTTCAAACATAAAAAAGGATTACAGTTCAGAGTTCAGTTACTGAAATGAAAAAGAAAATTGCAGCTTCTTAAACAACAGGATTTGCATTTTTTTAAGTAACAATACAATTGGAAAAAATACTCAGGAGTATTTAGAAAAACCCTCTGAAAAAAATCATTAAACTATTTAAAAAACCGTAATTATTAATTACAATACATTCCCTCTCCCCTACACAAACAAAAAAATGAGAAATAAATAAAAGTATTAATTGGAACTATATGAAAAAAAATTGAAAAAAGTTCAATAATGTCAATAGCTACATAAAACAGGCCTGTTCTTTATATATATATATGTATAAAGATATTTATATAGTATATTATGTAGGTATACAGATATGATTTATTATTATTATATTTTATTCAATTTATAAAATGTTACAAATTATTCAAATTTCAAGTCAATATTTCTATAATCAATTAAAAAAATCAATAAAAATAAAAATAATTCAATCACTGAAAAAAATTATGTTAGGATTAGAATTTAAAGTTTTCTTTATTACTTGGATAAACTCCCATAACGTCCAGGATGACGTTCTGATTATCTGTACCAAATAATTTAGTTTTAATAGTAATAATTTAAAGTTTTATAACATTTTTTTTAAATTGATTTTAGGTTCTGAGCCGAGCAATGAATGTATTGATTTCACAATAATGTGTTTTTTTATTTTTATTTTTTTGTGTACACAATAGGTAGTTGAAATAATGCTTCAATTTTCAACTTAGTATTTTGTTCGATGGGAAAGTGATTCTTGTTGGTGCTTAGCGGAGGTCAATTAAAAATTATACAATATTGGATATTCACTTGAGTTCTCATGTAGCGATTTTTAAATTTTGTTGAAATTCCAAAATGAATAAATATATTGTGTTTATTTTATCAATTCATATACTATAAAATTTACAAAATAATTTGACTCGTTTTAAGCTGTTTAGGTACAGACATTTTTTACAGTCAATTTATTTAGTTTTTTTTCTATAAATATCAATAAAATTTTATTTTTTGGGTCAAAAGCGTACAAATTTAATACAAGGTTCCTGATGTATTGGTACAATGGCAGTTGAAAAATATTAAAAACAGGTACAATTTTTTTTTTATAATCATTTAAAGTTTGAATTTAAAAATGATTTTGTAGTTAAAAATTTATAAAATGTTCAACTTTTATAGTTAAGGATTGAAAATCTAAAACAAAGAATCATGTAAATAGGTAAATAAATTACTTTATTCACAATAATATCATCAAATATACTTAGCAGGGATCGAAACAGTTTAAAATTTTAACAGTTACGGTTTTGGGTTTTGAGAAAGGTTTTCCAAATTTTATGGTTTTGGTTTAAGTTCTAAGAGCGGTTTTTCAAATGTTTAGGTTTTGGTTTCAAAAAAGATTTTTAAAATTTATCGGAATCAAGAAAGGTTTTTGAAAATTTTTTTTTCCTTTACCTAATAACTGTAGACCCGATTCTTACAATCTATTTAATAAGAACTAAGAAGGGCTGAGCGGCGCCTAAAGCCCTAAAATATGTCCGATTTGTATAACCTAAGTGTAGGTACAAACAATATAGCAAATTTACGTTCAGCAGAACTAATTTTGTGTTGTTAACTTTAATATGTTATACCTACTTTTGCATGCAACATATGGTTGAGATCATTATTCGATTATATTAATATTCAATTAAAATTTACAATAACATCACACTATATTACACTATAATAAATCTCTTGTTATGTGATTAATGCTTATGATATATGAACAAAATATTAATTTAAATGGATACTAAAAAAGAGTATTGGACTACTGAAAATATTGTTATTTAAAAAGGTTGACTGTTAAGATTCCAACAAAACACGTCAAAAGATTTGGTACACATTTGTAATTCAGGGGATTCTGAGAAGAATGATGATAATGACATAAGTAATTGATGATGGACGCGGATCAGTCGAATATGAAACAATATTGTAATAACATCAATAAATAATAATATACACAAATACATCAAATAATAACAATACAGACGTGTATAGCTGCATATACAGAGGTAAACAAAATAACAATTGTGATATTTGTACTTTAATTCTGAAACATTGAGTATAGTAATGATCAGGGACTGGAACCGTACCGAAAAGAACCGGTTTTGGAACCGGAACCCTTTCAATATTGGGAACCGAAACCTCACCGAAACCCTAATTCAAATTAATTTTAAAACCGGAACCTCACCGGAACACTTATTTAAATTTATTTAAAAACCGGAACCTTACCGGAACCCTTATTTATATTTATTTAAAAACCGCAACTTAACCGCAACCCATACTTTTTTTTAAAGGTTTTTACAATTAATTTCGGTTTTGTTATATCATTAATTTTATTTAATATATCTGTTAATTGTCATTGGTACATGGTAGATAATATGAACTAAACAAATACGTAAATCTATTATTATTATTAAGAGGTTAATTATACAAAAACAATCATTCAATATTAATTGTATTTTGTACGTAACAACTGATAATGTAATAGAAATGAGAAATTCCCAATAAAAATAAGTCATTATTTACTGCATATTATTATATGTAGGTACCTATAGGGGTTCCAGTTACCACAATACCTAGCAATTCTCAATATATATGGTTAATATTTATAAATAACTAGGCATTTTATGATTGTGTATATTATTACTATTAATACTATCGTTATCTGACGTACAGTACGCCTCGCGCAGTCGCGTCCTACTATTCTTGTCTATGGCCTGAGCTGTAAACGCGTTTCTGTGCTATGTCGCTGTACCTTACTTTAAAACTTTTTAAATTTAACTAAAGATATGATAATTTACATTTTTATAAGTTTTGTTTTATTTTAAAATTTAAAATATTATTTGTTAGGTACATATTATAAGTTTATTAGGTACTTAATTTTATGTATAAGTACATAACATTTTAATTTGAAAGGGGTTTTTTTTTATTTTAAATAAGATTTTATTATAATCCATTATGATGTTTAAGACGTTTAAGTTATCCTTATCATCAAATATTCAAAGGTATATAATTTAATTGTCATAAGTACCAATATTATAACTAATGTATGAATAATATCTTTACATTTCAAACGTTTTATTTTATCTTTAACGTAATTATATGTGTATTATATTAATTTTGTGTATGAGTAAAATGATTTTTAATTGTCACTATCATTAAGTATTCTAAAATGTTTTGATTTTAACTTTTTACAGATTATTATAAATAATCCTGTGAAAGTGGAATAGACTTTCCAATCTACTATCTTCTTAAACCCCTGACCATAAGTCTCTAGCCTAAGAAAATATAATATCTGGTAACTGGTGATAAAAAAAAATTTATTTTTAAAATCTTAAATACTGAATAATAATGCAACAAGTAGTAATTGGTAAATGCTACATAGTAATCTAGTAAAATACAAAAAGTGTTATTTGAAACGGGATAGTACATGATGTTATTTAGTCCTTTCCTTTATCCTAAGCAATTGGTAGAATATCTGGTAGAAAAATTAGTATTGACGCCAACGAAACTTATCAAATATTTCTTACATGAGTGTTAACTTTCAAGTATAAAACCTAAACAGGAATTTCATTTCAGTTTTCATTTTTTAAGAACCGAAAAGAACCGAAACCTACATTTTTGTTATTTTAAAAACCGAAACCGAAATTTCGATTTTTTTCAAAACCGAAAAGAAACCGAAACCGAAATTCTAGTTTTTTTTAAAAACCGAAAAGAAACCGTAACCGAAATTTTAGTTTTCTTAAAAACCGAAAAGAAACAGAAACCGAAATTTTAGTTTTTGTAAGAACCGAACCGGAACCGGAACCTTCAAAATCATCAAGGTTCCAGTCCCTGGTAATGATATTATAAAATATTAATAATAATATTTGTATTACCTATTAATATTTTGTAATAATCAGTTATAGCATAGGTATTCAAACAAAAGTTTTCTTTGCATAAAAATACTCGTTTTAGATAGAATTATAAATAATATAGATGATTAACTTTATAAAATTTGAAGAAACCGATATTAGTTTTAAATTTAAATCGGTTTCAAGAACGGTTTTTCAATAATGTATGGTTCTGGTTTAGGTTTTGTAAACGGTTTTTTAGGATTTTAGGTTTCAGTTACGGTTTATTAACAAGTGTTTTAAAGCTTTTGGTTTCGGCTCCGGTTACAGCATTGAAATATGAAAAAACCGTGGTTTCAACCTGTTTCGATCCCTGATACTTAGTAATATCATGGTCTGACTGACTGTTTTCGCTCAGAATTGTTTTTTGTGTACAATGATATATTGATATTATATTATTGAATTGAAATTTAACACATCCATTTGTAACCTACTGTACAGCAGATATATTTTGAGAATTATATTGAGAATAGTAGATGTATAGGAAAATTAATTCTAAGGTCTTGAAAAAAAAATTATAGAATGTATCAATTTAACCCAAAAAAAGTTGATTTATCTATCCAACATTGAATATTTAAGTAGTTTCAAATTGTTAATGTAATATTTTACAGCTAAAATACATAAAATAACTTAAAACTAAAGAATACTATTTAAGAAATAATAATTTAAAATGTTTTATGAAGTTCAATGTCTAATACTTAATAACTTAACTAAATTTAAATGAAACAATTTATGTCAAGACCAAATATATACCTAGTTGATTTTTATTAGATAGAAAATTAAGAAGAAATATTTTTAATTCCTTGTGTCGCACATAAATGTACACCTATGTAATAGCAAATATTATTAATAACTCAAAATAGCACCCTCACCAACACATGTCGATTTACTTGTACTCGCAGTCATTGTGACGTCTTCGAACGACTTTGGCACTTTGGCAGACATGGCCCGTCTTGTGATAATAATCACAACAAAACTACCGAATGAATACGTTTCGATGTCCGGGGCTTGAGAATAAATCAAACAAGCCTCGAGGGTATGCTTTGGAAATAATATCGAACAGACAAATGGGCAAAGGTAATAGAAATCTGAAAAATAATGTAACGTTTATATAATGTTAATATAGGTAATTCGATATTATGTGTTCACACAGTACTTACACGTTTGTGTATAAACTACCAAGGCATAACGACTAATGGCACTATTGGCATTTGATTACTAGAAATATAAAACATCAATACTCAATAGTAGGTAAATACTAAATAGTAAATAAGTAAATTCTCGCCGATCACAATAAATCGATATGGTACCGCAGAATTTATTAGAGGGACGTTAATCGTTATCACCTATCATGGAGCATAGACATATTTTTATACAACTCTATGGAGTAAACAGTGAAAATGTCCGAAAAAACGCATTAATTTTATTATTATTATTATCGTAACCGCCGGCAAGTTGGAAATACGCAAGTCATGGACCGCGGTCGTCGACGACGGGTACTTTACCAGATAAGAAGAATGCTACCGCCGTCCCCTCTACCTCATACCCGCCCTACATCACAATAATATTCCGAGGATTCTCCCCGCCAAACACCGCTTTGGCTACAACAGTGTTGTTACTGTACTGGCGTCTGCGTTTGCTGCGGGAGAAAAATTACACTGATAACGACATAATATTATTATATTAAATATTATATTATAACAATATTGTTACTGTTACAGTGTACGGGCACATCGTATGGTCCGTAATATTGAAATGTTGTGTGCGTGAAGTGTGAACTGTTCGTCTGAAATATAATCGTATTATATTATATTGCTCGGGCAGGCGCAATGCGCCCACCTCCTCCATTGACGCTGCGCCGTTGTCTCTCGTCAGCCGCCGCCGCTTGAATCGGACCGTCAGTCGCAGCACCGAAATGTAATAGTCGCAGGCCGATTGGTCATTTTGGTCGTCACTCACCGTCGCACCTATTCCGATCCCGTAGCGCATTAACGAGGTGCTCCCGTGCACCAGACAGTGGACACTGCAAACGCCGTTCCGTCGACAAAGAAAGCTTAGAAACATAAGCTTTCGGGTCGGTATTCATGGAACTATGAACCTGGATTCATTGTCATACACGTTGGCCCAGATCAGTTATCTCGTCAGCAATTTGTCGAAGAAGAACTACAAGCCGAGCGTTCAAGAAATATTCGACGTGAGTATAACGTTTGTGCCCCGACTGTCCAACCTAATACGTCGTTTGCTTTTAAAATATTCATTTTTCGTGCTCGTACCTCCCGTAGTTGGTAGCTATTCCATTCCATACTTGCGTCCGCTTGAGTATGACTAACGGTGGCATGGTCCTTGCTGGCGGCATTTTCGTACTCCATTTTTTTTTCCTAAACTCGGCGTCGGCTGATGCAACATTAGTGATTGCATTTTAATGGTTTTTTCTCGTAAAAGAACAAATCGTATTTTATGCATCAACGTTTGTAATTTCCCAAACAGTAAACAGCTGTAGTTTTGGTTCCAGAAAATAATTGTTTAAAGTTCATTTTATTTAAAAACTTTTTTAATTATTAATAAATACCTACATAATATATTATATTAGGTACCTATGTTGATAATGTTAAACTTAGAATTAGATGGATTCGAAAACATGTTGCCATCAAAATTTGGCTCAAATGCTCAAATCGCAATTGAAGAATAATAATAAATTGACTTATGTATTTTTGAGTTGTATACCTCAAAATATATAACTTATGAATATTTAAGGTGCGGGAAAAAATTTGAGTTTTTAAGGTTAAAGCGTCGATTACACTGAGCAAATTTACTCGCTAGTCTTTGGCGAACAAAGTCAAGCGTTTGTGAGCGTGTAGTAACCCGTCCAATCAGGGCGATTACATTGAGGTAAAAACACCAGCGATTAGTGACTAAAGTAGCCCAGTCGTCAACTTTAATCGCAGCGAGTATTCAACACGCGGTGAGTAAGCGACTAAACCAATTACATCGAGCGAGTTAATTCGCCAGCGATTAGCGAGTAAATTCGCTCAGTGTAATCGACTCTTAAGTTATTACGACTCGACTGTAGGTCTATAAATGTTATTAAATGTGTACCACAGGTTAACATACTTTTATTAAGGTACCTACCTATGATTTATTTTTTTTTTTAATTTATAACATTTCATTTCATAACAGTAATACTTTTGAACTTTAACTATACTCTGCACCAGAAGAGAATATAACCGTTTTGTGCATGTAGACCGACAGCAGCGACCGGTCCAGAGCACAATTTTCCCCACTTTGTGCCGCGATGGTTTAGGTTGTTTAAATATATATTATAGCATTGAGCGTTGCCAAACATACTGAATATTGACGAACCGTTGTGGTTGAATGGGGGATACTCAGGATTGTACATAATTTGGATGCAACATGGTAATGTTCTCTCGTGGCGCAAAGTATAGGTATATTTTATATAATAGTCTAGTTATAAACAATTTTTTATATTTTCTTGTGGTGAACACAATTAACATAAATAATAATATTAGGTTTTATACCATAATTAGGACATGATGAAATAATTAAACTGATAAAAAAAAAACAAGTCTGATAAGATATTTTTACAAAATATTACTTGTAAATTATCTACCAATTAAATTTATACTAACTACATATTTTAACATTAATATAATTATAAAAATAAATATATGCCAATACTTTAGTGTGAGCTTTACCTACTGTGATTATATATTTTTTTTAATTGGACAAGAATATTTATTACCTATATAGTTTATAAAAATAATTGTCTTAACGCTATATTATATACATGTATTATGCACCTTTATAGTTATGCTCTTAAAAAACATATTTATACATTAGTATTTAAATTTTTTATTTTATGTCTGCATGTGTTATTTTTGAAGAAGTTGAAAAAATATTCAAATTTTAGGTTGTGTTACATTTATTTCATTATTGAATTTGTATGTTTACGTTAGTTAAATCACTTTGAAATCTATGTATAGTCACTTTCTTACTGATAGATTTATTTTATTTATCAATACAAATATAAGTATCTAAGGAGATCCTTTTTAACGACATTATATAAACGTTCCTACTAATTAAGAACATTTTTAAAAGCTTGATAATTTTTGGTACTTATCTCTATATTGTCTGTGTAGTTTCTATTGCGTTAAAGTTTTATTATGGTTATGCACCACAACATTAAATTATGGCATTAGAATTATTGACATTAAAAATTAATTAAAATTGAAATAAATTATAGACTAGAGTAAATTTTAATCATTGAGATAAAGTGGCATTTGATACTAAAATTGATTTTTTCCTGTTTTTTGTGTTATGTATTATTTGTTGAATTAAGTATTTTATTTTATTTATTCTCTAAAGGTAATTCAATTACAAGGATTTGAAGCTGACCGACATCTATTACGTTGTCTGTTTTCTCACATTGATTTAAAAGACACCGAAGGACCAAGAAATACATCTCACAAGGATTATTATCAAGCTCAATTACTAGCACACCAGTGTACAACTCTCTTGAATAAACCTTCACTAACTTCAATATTGTGTTTTGCCCTTGACAATCCACTTTTTTCTCAAAAGGTTTATACTATTATATTTATATTTATACTATTACCTATTTAATTAATATTTTGATCAATGTATTTAATATTTGTTAATAATAGGCACAAAAACCATCAATACAGCAATTTACACAGCTTAGTAGAATACTGCATCTAAGTCCTGTTCAAGAAGTTGTGTTTGGGCTTGTTTGTTTAGAGTCGACAAATTACTCTACTTACGCTTTACAATTTGTTAAACAGAAGTTACCACTTCTTATTAAAAACTATATCAATTCAGGTACACAAATAAAATTAATTAATTAATGTAAATAATATATAATACAACATTTGTATTAATTTAGATATTAATTCTAATCAAGTCGTTGGAGGCGGTCTGCACGATTCTAGTCCAGAAGTTCTGCATCTGATTCTAAGCCACGTATTTAATGTTGACGATCAATTATTTGGTGTGTAAATAAATATTTAAAATTTATGTAATCTAATGTGTATAAATTTAAAATTGTATACTATTCAACATCTAAGTTTTGACAGAAGTATAGAACCAAGTGCTAGATATATTATTTAACCATCTTATTATATAGATGTAATTACATTTTGAAGTTGCATGAAAAAAAAAAAAACATCAAATTAAAGTTACGATCTTACATTTAATAATATAAAATCAAGATGGTTAATCAATCAAATTATTTATTTTGTAAATAATACTACTATTTAATCATTTAAAAAAAATCAATTGTATACAATTGAAATAAATAAATTGTTTATTATTTACTTTTTATTAAGTTAACAATTAATTATGTTTTTATTATATCAGGAATAAGTAAAGAAGTAAAAAAAGTTTTATTACTTAATCTACGTCGTGATTTTCCGCTTGAGGTTGCTCCAGTATTATTGGCACCATTAATATATTCTGATAAACCAGACCACCCAATGGATAAAATAAATTCAGATACATCTACTATTCCTAAAATAATGGTAATAACTAATAACGGTTTATTTTTTTTCATGATAGTTTTTAGGATTTTCATAATTATTTGTATTTATTATTTTACCAGGAAAATCCGTCATTGCCTAATTTAATAATGGAAATGGGCTATTCTGTTTGTTCATCATTGGACGAGTGCCGACGAAACTTGTTATCCGTAACTAATGGATGTGTCCCATCAGTAACTTTTGGTCCTGAATCTGTTGCCAAAGTAATATCAATGATGATACGTACACATACAGGGCTAGATTCTCAATTACCTTTACCGTATTGGACAGAAGATGACGCTGACCATGACATAGACAAAATGTCTTCTAATTCCATCACATGGAATATTGAAGTGTTTGTTAACACAATCAAAGAATTGGTAATAATTGTTATATTAAAATTTCAATAATAAATTATTTTTATACTGTTCCATATTTTTTATTTTAGAACCCATCTTTATCTTGGATGGACTTGATAAAAGAACTTGATCATGAACATTTTTTTGTCAAGGATAGACAAGGTTTAGTCCTTCTGTTTTTGGCTTTAAGACTTGGTTTGAATTCTCCAGGGTACCATATAGAGAATTTTCCAATAAATATGATTTATCGACGCTGGAAAAATTCTGATGCACAGGTTACTTTTTTGTCTGTTTACATTTACCTTTATGCATGTAAAAATTAATTATACTTTGTTTTTAGATGTCTTTAATTCAACATATACTACGAAGTTCGGATGTGTTTTGTTTTGCTGACTATCCTTATAGATCAGTATCTATAGATTCATTAAAAACTATTCCAGATGCAGATAACAAGGACATCAATACTTGGTATGTTCTCAATAGAACAAAATTCACAATATATTAATTAATAAGTGCTTGAATGAATGTCAGATAGTTATAATTTTGTTTTATGTTCTTACACGATTGCACTAGATTTAAACTAAAAGATATACAGTGAAACTTACAATTTACAACATTTTCTGTTAAACAAAATATTTTTGAAACCAAACCAAATTAGAACAAAATTTATTGAATTCTATTCAACAAAATTCTCTATAATACAAATTTTTTTTACTACCCATGAAACTTTGTAATATGGCAGGTTTGCTGCACTATATTTTACCTGAACTGGTTTATTTCTATGCACTGAACTGAATACATTGAACACTTAGTAATAATTTTGATAATATAATTTCACCACTTATCATATTGTGGAATAATTTTTAACATACTTATTCATTTTTCTATCTTTTTTTAGGCGATCAATCGAACTTGTTGATTTGTTGCTCTACTTGGCAGAACGAGGTCTTTATTATGAAGTACAAGAATGTTTGAAGTTTCCTGCTCAAAAATGTCCCGATATCTTAGCACTTGCCTTGATAGAGTCTAATGGTCCATTGAATATTGTTAGACATGAAATAATCAGTAGTCTGATGCCTATATTTTTAGGAAATCACAGTAATTCTGCTATAATTTTACATCACGCATGGAATCATCAGGTATTTATTATATTAAAATAAAATTGAATAATCATTAATTTTACAGTTGGAGGTATATGAAGTTACTTTTATATCATATTTTAAAATCAAGTGAATTCAAAATGATAACTTCTATTATTATAATAGATTTAAAATTATTTCAATTAATTTTATAAGATAAGACATAAATATTGTTTACTTATTAATTAGTGACATATTATTTCTTTTTTTTTAGAATGTTGGGCTTAAACATACTTTGGCACAGGCGATGAGTGACTGGTATATGCGAAGTGATTATGATAATGTTAAACTATCTCGGATATTAGATATCGCTCAAGATTTAAAAGTAAAATTATTTATTTTTTATAAAATTTAACCTACATTATTTATTTATTTCTTTATGTTTATAATTTCAGGCATTGTCGTTACTATTGAGTGTTCAGCAATTTCCATTTATTATAGATTTAGCCTGTTTAGCATCTAGACGAGAATATTTGAAATTAGATAAATGGCTGACTGATAAAATTCATGAACAAGGTGAAGGATTTGTATCAGCTTGTGTTAAGTTTATACAGGTGCGTGTTTCATATTATACTATAATTATTGGTAATCATTAATTAAGTAATATTATAAACCATCAACCATTGTTTAAAACTATATTGTAAACCAATTATTCTATTATTAGAAACGCTATCCTCAACTATGTGGATCATCAGCTAAAGAAGAAAATACATCAAAATATACTCCTTTATCGGCAGAAACTCTACTTATAATTTTAAATTGCTTACGTAACATTACCGGGTAAGTTAAATTACAATTTCTCTTTAGTTTCTTAGTATTAATGTAATTCAGTTATAGTTAAACATTTTCTATTAAAGTAACTAGAAATTGAAAAAGAATTTTAGAGATTTATTTGTATTGTATCTTTAGATTTGATCAAGTACTCAAGTTGTTATCTGTATAGATTTCTTTTTTGTTTTATAAAATGTATTATTTTATTTATGAATTAAATATAAATATATATTTAATTTTTTTTTTAGATTTTATATGTAATAGTGTTATATCTTAACTATCTGCTTATACTAGTTTTTTTGTTTGAATTACAGAACAGTTTCACAAGAACTAACAGAAACAATTATACAAATGGTATCTAATTACACCAGTATGTATATGCCCAAAGCACCTACCATTCGTGTCAATACTGCTGCTCCACCCACTCCTATTTTTCGTCCTACACATCAAAGATCAATTGGACAAATAGAAGGCCCTGCACTTCAAGTTATGGTTGATCAGCTTACTGGACTTGCCACTAGTTTAGCCAGCCTTGGACTAAATCCTGGTACTCAAAATACTTCTACATTTACATTACCAGGTTCTTAAAAAATGTTTGAAAGTTACATATTATGTTACATTATTTTAAAACATTTTATTATTCATATTCAGGATCTTTGGGACAACTAGTTCAAACACCTGGGTCACCTTCACGAAGTATTGTTGGTAATGTATCTGGACTTGGAGGTTTTTCCATTATGACACCTTCATCTATAAATGCTCCGGGTCCAAATATATCAAGTCAATTATCTGGTTCATCTAATATGTTAGGTCGTTTACCACCACAACAAGTTTTGCCATCAGTAATTGGCAAATCCAACCATACAAGTATTAAATATTAACTTAATTTTATAATTCATTATTATATATAAATTTAATTTTTAGTTGATAACAGCTTATTTATGGATGGTAATACCCCAGTCTCTGTTCCTAAAGATATTGAGGATGAAGCAAATAGTTATTTTCAGCGTATTTACAACTTGGCTCCTCATAACTCTTTATCTATAGATGAAGTACTTGAAACTCTTAAAAGATTCCAAGAATCACCTGTTAAACGAGAAAGGGTTATTATTCTACCATTTAATTTCTGTACATACTTTACTTTTGAATATAATTGAAAACTTTTGACATTATAGGAAGTATTTTGTTGCATGCTTCGAAATTTATTTGAGGAGTATAGATTTTTTCCAGCGTATCCTGAAAAGGAGCTTATAACAACAGCTCATCTATTTGGTGGTATTATAGAGCACAGTCTTGTTTCGTAAGTGATTGTATTTTTTTTTTTATTTTTTTTTTTTTTTCATATCAACAAGTTGTAACTAATTGTATTTTTTTATTTCATTTTCAAGAAATTATAAAGCTTTGGGACTTGCCCTCCGTTTCATTTTGGATGCACTTAAAAAGAGCCCAAATTCAAAAATGTATAACTTTGGGATAACTGCGTTGGATCGTTTTAAAAATCGTTTAAAAGATTATCATCAATATTGTTCTCATATAACTGCTATTCCTCACTTTCATCAATTTCCTCAACATCTTATTGAGGTATATATATTATATTTATATATTAATTTCAATATTACAATATCATATATTTTAATAATATTTAAGTGTATTATTGATGATAAACTATTTTATCTATAAAGATGTCCATTATAGTTATTTAGTATAAATAGTAATAATCATTGTATGTTAATGGGTATAAAATGTTATTAAGAGTGATAAAAAAAAATCAATCATAATAAACAATACTCAATAGGTAACAGTTGTTTAATATTATTTTTAAATGATAGGTTACTAAACATAATTATCTACATACTAGACTACCAAATTACTCTTAAAATGTATTCAAAATTATAGTATATTGTTTTAAGTATGTTTCGAAACTAGGAATTTAGTACACTCCCAGAGTATTAACTTCTTAACTAGTTAATATTTTTCAAATCGTACACTATTTTGTTTATAATTTTGTATGTAAAAAAAAAAAAATTAAAAGCTGTTGATTTATTCAGAGCTTGAAAATGGATAAATACAATCTCTGATCTTGTCACAAACGCTTCGAGTATCATATACGCAATCAGTAGTTTTATGAACCTGAGCTGGGGGGGGGGGCATATAATATGATACCTACATTTTTATAAGAGTTTTAGGCATAGGAAATTCAATAGATATTTATAATGAATAAAAGGTTATAAAAAATGTGGAGTATCGCAGTTTATAATATATGATACAACTAAAGTCAGTATGATCTATGACGTCAATATCAACTAATACAACATAACATTTTTCCCAAGTTACATGATACTTAAAGTTAAGATAAGTTAATACTCAAGTTTCATAATACTTATAATGACATACTTTTAACGTTCCATTACCCATTGTTATAAATGATATTGACTGTAGTTCTATAAAAAATAAAAACTATAATATTATGTTAATTAAAAAAATAAAACATGTATATTATTTTATTATCGTAGTTTGTGGAGTATGGAAAAAATTCACAAGAACCACCTACCACATCTCGAATCCCAGATTTGATTGGAATTAGTAACAATACAATTCCACCATTTATACCAAACTTACACAATATATTTAAAGCTCAAAGTATCACTACTACTACAACGACTACATCTCCTATGACATCTACATCATCTAAACTTGTAACCACAAATGCCCTATTAACCTCTAGAGTAAGTATATTTAATAAAAATGTCTTAAATAACGCTATTTTACAATTTATTTTACTTTCTATTATATCTGCAGCCTTCAATTGCAAACACTACAAACATTGATACCTTACTGGTTGCAACTGAGAAAGATGATAAATTAATTATACCTCCGGAAAGTCTACAAGATAAGATAGCTTTCATTTTTAATAACTTAAGCCAAATTAATCTTCAAACTAAGGTAAAATCAAAGTTTTTACTTATATTTTGAAATTATATAAGATAATTCCTATGTTAAAAAATAACTTTTTTGTACATATTACAGTGCGACGAAATTAGAGAAATCATCAACAATGATTATTTGCAATGGCTTTCTCAGTATTTAGTTATGAAGCGAGTCAGCATTGAGTTTAACTTCCATTCACTATACTCCAATTTTTTGGACTGTTTAAATAATGAAAAATTAAACTTTTTGATAAATATGGAAACTTTTAGAAATATCAGAGTATGTATACTATATAACTTATTTTGTAAAAATAAATTACAATATGTGTAGTTTTATTATACATTTATAAATGATTTGTAATTCAATTGTTTTTGTATCTTTTAGATATTATTAAAAAGTAACAAAGGAATGGACAATTTTTCAGACAGATCGTTATTAAAAAATTTAGGTCACTGGCTTGGTATGATCACATTGGCCAAAAATAAACCAATTGTACTTGATGATATTAATCTAAAAATGTTACTGGTGGAAGCTTATAATAAAGGACATCAGGAATTACTTTTTACAGTTCCATTTATTGCTAAAGTCCTTGAGTCATGCGCTAAAAGTAGAGTATGTACTAAATGCACACTTATTTATTAATTATTATATTGAAGTTTTTCAAAAGGTTTTTCGAACCCTCAAAAAAAAAGTATTTTTTCCACGTCATGTTTTATTTTATTATTTACTTATAATACAACTTGTTCATTCTTGTGGCTTTGCTGTATAAAAAACATTCAATCAGTTAGTTAAATTTTTAATTTATACATAAGTATTGTCTTGTTTCTATTTTTACTATAAACTACGTATTATATTAATCAATTAAATTTTAATGTTTCTGCCAACCTTTTATGATACACTGTATAGTTTGTAAACCATTGTTAATTATTTTATCTTATTTTATTATAAATAATACAACCATATGTTATTTAGGTATTTAAACCAAGAAATCCATGGACAATGTCTGTTATGAACTGTTTAGCTGAGCTCCATCAAGAGCCTGAGTTAAAATTAACCTTAAAATTTGAAGTTGAAGTTTTATGTAAAGCATTAAACCTTGATATTCAAGTAATTTAAATTTCATTAACCTAACATAAAATTTAATGCATGTTTGAATATTTGTGAAATTAATTAAAATTCTAGGACTTAAAACCAGGATATGTACTGAAAAATCCCGAAATAGCCAAAAAGTTAGTACAACAGCTTTCAGATGAAGAAAGTTCAAAACCACAAATTCAATGTGTTATAGATCTGCCTAAAACAGTTTCAACTTCTCAGCAGCATACACCTATTTATCAAAGTAATCAAAGTTTATACAAACCAATCTAAAACTAATAAAATATTAGTGTTTTAATATGTATAATGTTTATGTTTCAATTAAAATCTGATAAATAGTTGCAACTAGGTTCATTAAATGTAAACATAAAAATGAGTTATGTCAAATAAAATATTTAATTAAAAATATTAAACTATAACTCCAAAAAATAGCAATTATAACACTTTTATGATTGGTAGTAATTATATCTTAACTTGTTAATTTGTTTAGTACTTATATTATTTGGATAATAGGTTTTGAATTCTCAAGACACATAATTTAGTATCTAATAATTTAAATAACAACATTTATATTTAAGGAATATGCTTCAACCATTAAGAATATAAGAACCTTGATTTAATTATAAGCTAATCACAAATGTGTATGATAACAGATTTATATTGCCTAAATAAGAGTCTCAAACAGCTAACATTTGTAAATTGTTGTATAAAACTGATAATTATTTAGAAGTTATGTTATTTTTGATAGTTTAAAAATAATTATTTTAAATTCTATTAATTTGTTTTTTTTTAGCAATTTCTTCTCAACAACATAATAATATGATTCCAACAATTTCTTCAATGAATTCCAATACTCGGTTTAATGATGAACTTGTTGGTCATGTTGTGTCAGCAGGTGGTATTACATCATTATCATCAAATGGTTGTATTGGTATAAGTGGTATGACAGAAATGTCTCCAACTTTACCTTCTTTTGAGCCTAAATATAACTATGTGACATTCAATGCCGCTAATTCAGCACAAATAATGTCTATGATTGTTATAAATTCTCAAGTTAGTATTTTTTGTATAAGTATTATGTATAAATGTTTATATTATATTATAATAATGATAATTGTGTGTAATCTGTGTGTAACTTTTGATATAGATTTTCTATTCATATGTGTAAAGTTCTCTTTTTATTAAAATACCTTAATTTTCCTGATAATTGGCAATTCAATTTTAAATTTTTTAAATTATTATTATTGAAACAAAATATGTTGGCTTACAACTTGGTTTTTGTTGACTTATTAACACGTTCAACGCCGCCCGTGATTTCAGCAATTATACCGCGACGCCGCGTTGCAGGCATCCGTTGTAGTATCGTATATAACGCCAAATGAAACAAATTATTGTATTTTCAATATTATTAGTGGCAAAGTAGCCATATTGCATGATACAGTATGTTACTATTATTAAATAACAGTAGAAAAATTCATAATATAATAATATATCTAATATACACCCTGTATACGTTCATATACATTTTCTTGGGAAGGCCGTCAAAAACAACGATTATCAGTATCTAATAATAACGAAAACTCAAACCAATTATAGATTTAAATTTAGAGTTTATTGTCTACAGCCTGTGTACATTTCAGAGTTTATTAAAATAAAATCGATTAAATTATGGCGGATACAAACGTACATGTTACTGACGCGTAAACGCGTCACTGGCCCAATGGAATAAACTCTGTTGCCGCGTATACGCGTCAGCGGCGTTGAAAGTGTTAAACATATTTTTTTAATTTCCATACAATTTATATATTTGTTAGTTAACCTAACCATGAACTAATAACAAGATTTAAAATTTTCTATGTGGAAATTGTTTTGTTTAGATTCCATTGTTTGTTAGCCAACCAGCACTTAAGAATTATGTGCAAGCTGTCATTGAACGTTCAATTCAAGATTGGCTAAATCCTGTTGTGGATAGATCTGTAAAAGTTGCAGCCACCACAACAGAAAATATTGTCAAAAAAGTATGTGCCTCTATGAATATTATAAAATAAACAACTTATTATAAAATTAATTCTTAGGATTTTGGTATGGACCCTGATGAATCTCATTTACGAAAAGCAGCTCATTGTATGGTTAGAAATTTGACTTCTGGTTTAGCAATGATAACCTGCCGAGAACAAGTTGTGCAATTATTAACATCCAATTTGAAACAACATTTTCTTAGTGTCTTAATGGTATACCTAATTATAATATCTAAAGCAATTTTTGAATTCTTTTAATTTTTGTGTCATATTTAATTAGACACCAACCCCAAATCAAAAAGAAATGATTGATCAAGCTTGTACAATGTGTGCAAATGATAATTTAGAGTTAGCTTGTGCTTTTGTACAGAAAACTGCTACTGAAAAGGCTGTGATTGAAATTGATAAATATTTGAAAACTGTAAGTACCATTTATATTTATTACCAAATTATGATAACTTACATTTTTAAAAATGATAATAATATATTTTTTTTTTTATTTCCATAGGAATTTGAAAGACGTAATGTGTCAAGAATGGAAGGACGTCGCTATTGTGATCCAATGGTAATGAGTGGCCAAGCTGAATATTTACCAGATTCTCTTCGTAACAAAATAGGATTGCCATTACCTCAAATGATTGGAATATATGAAGATTTTGCTAGGAACATTCCTGGATTCTTACCACTTGATCGAGAAGCTGTATCATTATTTATGCCAAAAACTGTAACTTTTTTATTCGAGTATAAATTTTAACTTTATTGTATAATTTTAACATATTGTTATCTTGGTTTAAATTAGACAATCCAACTTGATGAAATGACAGTTTTGTATGAAAAAATTATAAATGAAATTGAAGTGCTTCTACAGATGTATATGAACAATCAAAGACTCATGACCAATACAACACAACCAGCAAATCTTCATAGTGTGTTAGAAGCCATGACTTCTTTAAGAAGGTCCCGCGATATTGTTAATGCAACAAATATTATACACAAAGTAATGTATAAACATTTTATATTACACATAGTACAAAAATATTGTATACAGAATTTTTTCTACAATATAAACTTTTATAGTTACGTTAACAGAAATATTTAACCTTATATAATCATAAACTGTTTTTAACACAATTATTTCATCTTGTTTCTGCCAAAATACAAATCCATTTTATGCACCATTTCTTTATTAAAGATCAATCTTTATAGTTAGAGAATACAAACGATAATTACAATTTTAATAAGTTTTTTGGTTTATTATAACTCACCAAAATTTAAATAACAAATAAATAAATCAGTTTTGTAAGAGATTTATAACTTTTTAATTACTATAGTTGATTATTATGGCTGGTATTCTTTTGTGCACTTATTGTATTGTAATTGTAGGTATTTTATTTTTTTTAGGTTCTAAGTAGAATTTGGTAGATAATAGTTCAATAATCATTTTTATTTTTTTAAATAAAAATCTGATCTGTCAAATATAACTGGTTACTACCTAAAATTGAAAAAAATATTACTAAATAAGTTATTTTATTTTTTTACTTGTTTAAAAGCATTGTAAATAACTGAAAAATTATTAAAAACCCTTCCCAATTATGAGATTACAACTTATTTGTTTTGGCTAAAACATTTTATGTAACCTAATATACAGTAATATATTCTTGATAATAATGGTACCTAATATTTTTTAATTAGATTGTTGAAAGTTACCTAGAAGGACTTTGTCCACCTGCTAACCAAGATTTGGATATGAGTATTAGATTCCGTGATGTGCATCTTAATATAATTAGAGCTTTCCAAGATCCACGGGCTTACAATATGCAATGGACTAATAAAATACTAACCAAGTATTTTAATTTAAGTCATTCAAGATAATAAATGTATTACAATTTGTTTATGTAATTTTCAGGGCGGTTGTGGAATCTAGAGAAGAAATACGTTTCAATATTGAAGCAATTGATGTATTTATTCGTGCCGGAATGTTGAATATTGGCATATATGATATGCATTTAGCTATGTCAATGGAGAATGGCAACAATTATGTATCCATAGTTTATGTGAAACAATTTTTACAGCACTATTTAATAGATAACAGATCTAATTCGCCAATAAATGAGAGTCATTTTCAAGCTACAATTGAAGCCTTAAATACTATTGTGCTTACTGGACGTGCTATTCCAGATGGGTATACATTCATATTTTGTTGTTTTATTTCTGATTTTAGTTGTATGTTTTGATTGCTTCTAAATTTTAAATTTATGTTTTAGATTGACAGTTCTTTTGGAAATGATTAGACCATCACAGACGGATAATAGTCTTGTAAACCAATTGGTAGGTAGTACATCTACTAATACATCGCATACCTTATTACAAGTGAGTTAATAGATACAAATAAGAGTTTAATTAAAATAATAAATTATGAATATCAATTTTAGGGCAGAGACTATGATGATCCACCAGGTTTATTAGAAAAAACTGAATTTTTACTGAAAGAATGGTTGACAATTTACAATGCAGCTCCTAATAGAGATCCTAGCAAAACATTTAGCGCTTATATTCAACAAGTTTGTTAATTTTAAAACCAATAATTTAATTGTTATTAATTTAATTTAATTATGTTCATAGATGAATGGTCAAGGAATTTTGAAATCTGATGACATAATAACTCGTTTCTTCCGCCTCAGTACCCAAATGATGGTAGAATTATGTTATAGACAAATACCGGATCAAACACAATCTCCTTCTACTATACGAGCTAAACTTTTTCATACTATCGATGCTTACGTTAAGCTCATAGTACTGTTAATTAAACATTCGGGTGATACAAGTGCTGTTACTACCAAAACTAACCTTTTGAACAAGGTATGAACATTTTTTCCATATTTTTTTAGTTTTTAAAGTTACATGATTATTTTATTTTGCCTATTTAAACAATTGACAGGTCCTAGGAATTGTTGTGGGTGTCTTACTTCAAGATCATGATGTTCAAGCAACTGATTTCCATCAATTACCATATCATAGAATTTTGATTACTCTATTTCTTGACTTGAATGCTCCTGATCCGGTACTTGAATCAATCAACTACCCAGTAAGTCTTAAAGATTGCTAAACAAAATATTAAGCTAATAATTTTTTTTATTATTAGATACTTGCTGTTTTTTGCCATACTTTTCATCTTCTCCGACCAAGAAAAGTTCCAGGTTTCACATATGCATGGCTGGAGCTTATATCTCATCGTATATTTATTGGTCGTCTTTTAGGATTAAATTCTCAACAAAAAGTAAATATTAAATTAAAATATCAATAAAATAAGAATAATGAATGAACAGCTATTATATTTTCCTGTTTTATTGTACATAAATGTAAGATTGATATTAAACTATTTCTAGCGTTCTTATGAGCAAACATCAACCAACGATCTTCAAGGCTGGAATTTCTATGCTCAACTATTGGTTGACCTGTTTAAATATTTGGCACCATTTTTACGCAATGCTGAACTCGCCAAACCTGTTCATTTGTTGTACAAAGGAACATTGAGAGTACTTCTCATTTTACTACATGACTTTCCAGAATTCTTGTGCGAGTATCATTATGGTTTTTGTGATGTAATACCTCCTAATTGTATTCAAGTAAGTTATAATACATTCAATTTTATAAATACTAATAATTTATTATATAGAAACAATAATTATTATTTTTATAGATGAGAAACTTAATATTATCGGCTTTTCCACGTAACATGCGTCTTCCTGATCCATTTACACCAAATTTGAAAGTTGATGTTCTTCAAGAAATATCTGTGGCACCAAAAATTAGTCCAGACTTCCAGAGTTTTATTCAGCCTATTAGTTTTAAAAAAGTAATTAAATATTAAAAAGAAACATATAATCATTATTTATTTAAAATGTTTAATTTTTATATAGGATTTGGACTTGTATTTGAAAACTCGATCACCAGTGACATTTTTATCCGAAATCCGGACAACTATGCAACAAAGTTGCTGTGAACCAGGCATGCGCTATGATCTGTCTCTTTTAAATGCCATTGTTTTGTATGTTGGAACTCAAGCGATACAGCAAATACGCAGCAAAGGCTTAGTACCAAATACTTCAACAATTACTCATTCCGCTCACATGGATATATTTCAAAATTTATCTGTTGATCTTGATACAGAAGGTTAATTTACTTTGATCACATATTTATTAACAATTGCCCAGTGGATAATGAAATTTATTATTAGAGAATCTTCTTAGTCTAAAAAAAAAAAAAATACTAAAAAAATTGTTATTCAAAACTCATGAACTCATTAAATCCTTATTTTAAAATCATAATAAATATTTTGTTTAATATTCAATTGAAGTTTAAAGAAGATTTTCTGAATTTAAAATGTTTAATTGTCAATTAAATCTGGACTTTAAATGTTATCCAAATAACAACTGATCTAAATATTTTGAATTTAGGTCGTTACTTGTTTTTGAATGCAATTGCTAATCAATTGCGTTACCCAAATAGCCATACCCATTATTTTAGCTGTACTCTTTTATACCTATTTGCTGAGGCCAATAGTGAAGTTATTCAAGAACAAATAACAAGGTTAGTATTATGTAATTGTATAATTTTTTCAGTGGCACGTAACTTAAATATATTTAAATAGGTAATCTATTTGTTTTAATAACCATTTTATTACAATTTTGTCATTCAAAATATTCTGTTTACATATTTTTTTCAGTTTTGATTTGTTTACTGCACATGTTTTATTTGTATTGAACCAACAGTTAATTAATGAATTGTTTATTTTATTGTCAATTATCACTTATGTTTATACATTATTAAATGTTCATAATATATATTTCTAGAGTTCTTTTGGAGAGATTAATCGTAAACCGACCACATCCTTGGGGTTTATTAATAACATTCATTGAATTGATTAAAAATCCCGCTTACAAGTTTTGGACTCATGAATTTGTACATTGTGCACCTGAAATTGAGAAGTAAGCTATTACAGAAACATATTGAATATCAAGATAGTTTTTCTGAATTTTTTTAATTCTTATTTATGTTTAAAATTTATCAAAATACTTGATTTTGTAGACTTTTTGAATCTGTGGCCCGATCATGTATGGTTCCCAAACAACCTACTACTGCAATGGACGATGACAATTTACCAAACATATGAACATAAATCAAATATATACATTGGGATATTTAGCATAAGTATATTCTTAGTTTTTAAAGAGAACACTGAACCAAAATCGTGGTTTTTTAATATTCAGTGTTTATCGAAAAATAATTATATTTCAGTTTAAGGTCCATGAATATATTTGATTTAACTGTTGATTATACTTAATGATATATATTTACTGGCACTGAAATCAATTTCCCTATTTTTAAGGTTTATATTAAGGGATTACCAATCATAGACTATTAATTTAATTAAAATATAATCATTGTGACAACTGATTAGTACAATAATAATTATCATACGTTATTATAATTATTATAAGAAAGTAATAAGAACAAATATTAAACCCATTTCTAGTATAATATTTATAGCATTTCTAAACTTCTATTATTTTATTAGAATTCATGCATTTATTTATACTTAACTGGCTTTAAAATAATTATAATGTCAATGATGAAAATTATTAATATTTAATACAGAATTGTATTTGTTTAGTTTTGTTTTGTCCTAATTTTCTGGATAATTGGTTTGAAATACTTTTTTTTTACAATAAGTATTACTTTGATACACACAGACTAAAAATATAAATATTAACTAGTTGAATTGTGGGTAATATTTGTTTTTAAATCACTTTGATAAATTTCATAATTTGTGTTCTTAAAATAAAATTACTTTATTAATTTACTTTTTTTTACTATTAGTGTTAAATAAAAATCGTTTATTAGATTGTTTTTTTTTTTTAGATTTTATATTTATTCATTATTGTGACATGTTAATTAAAAATAGATATATTGTATGCATTAGTCATGTAACTTTATCATTGATTTCAGTTTATCAATAGAACAATTTTACTCCATGTCTCACAATCTTAATATTATGATTGATGTGAATAAAATTAATAATTATAAAATGTTGTGTTTATTGAAATTATATGACTTATAAGCTTTAAAGCAGTTGGCAATAGCCTAACATTTATTTAGTAGATAGACTTAAAATCCTGATAAAATTATACCTGTTCAGAAAGTGCTTTTAATTCTTTAAAAATAATTTATCTACCTATTTTCTAGTCTCTAGTTCAGCATGGGCATTAGTTTTTTTAATTTAAATTTTGTTCAAGTCTTAATTTAATTGTTTAATTTAAAGTATTTATAAAGGGTTTTCTTTTAAAAAATTTAATAGTTATTGAACAATTGACTATTATATTAATGGTTTAGCTCAACAATTTCTTACAAAAATGCAATTTGATCATTCTAGTTCTTAGTAGTTTTGTCATTATTTCAAGTCTAAATTGGTTAAAATTAGTTACTTGTAGGAACAAAATATTTTGTTTTATTCATTATTAAAAGCAATGACATGGGAATGCTGAATATAAGTGGTGTGATGGAGACAGCACTGTTTATGTGAAATATAATATAATCTGTGGAGACAGGTACAAGTGACATCAGTGCGCTACCGCATGTGTTAGGAAAAAATTGTCTATAGAATACTTTATATTCTATTAATAATATGTTCTTCTATCCCCCTCAACTACAACAATAATTTTAAAAAAATGTATGTTTTTATTTATATCTTTTAATGTACATATATTGCATTATATTTGTATAACAGGTCAATATCAAAGTAAGCATAGGCTTGCCCAGATTTTTTTGCAGGGTATGCAAATATTTTTAAATATATCTAGCTCAATACAAAAAATAACTCACCTCATAATGTAAATACGAATCTAAATTTGAAAAAAAAATAAGTAACAAAAACAGTATATAAATATAAACCCGCAAAAATATGATCATACAGGTTACAACTTACAGGTATTATAATACAATAATAACAAAAAATGATAATCTAATTAATCAATATTTTTTTATTTTTGATAATATGTAATAAGCAATAGAAGGATCAGAATGTTCTGTGACAAAATTACAAAACCCACAATTCTCACGAAAATGGGGGTTTTTGATTTCAACTATAATATCATGAGTTTGAAATAGATTTTATTATTTTTATGTACTTGTCTGTGGTGATTATGAAATGTAATTAATATTTAACTCCTAATATGTTTATAAGAAAAAAATAATATTTATATTATAATAAAATAATCAAAATATTTAAATTCTAATCTTGAACCCAGCTTTAGGTCTCAACATAAGCGTGCGCACGGGATAGTCATGGTAGGTACTTGACTACTCTGCAAACTTTCCCCCCTCAATATTCAATATTGTCATGATAATATTATTAATATTGATAGTAAGTTAATCATAAAATACTTGTTTTAGTTTTTAGTGTTTTTACTATGGTAAATGTAGTTAAATGAGGATACCCCATCCATCATAGACGCAAATAAGGGAGGTCAAATACATTTCCGACATTTTGTTTTAAGCTTATTCAATACTATCAAAGTAAGGTTTTAACCCCTCCCCCAAATCTCAAACTCTATTGGCCCTATGCCATCCATAATTAACTTTTATAACTTAGGTGTGAATATGAATATCGTTATAATAACCTAACGCTATATTTTGGCGAAGTGGTTTTTTCGGGAAACCCATAAAACTGATACGGGAATCGATGAGATACGCGTGACAATTGTTCTTGGGTTTTTGTGGGATATACGTGGTATTTTCAATAATTTATGTGTTTATTTTTTCTGTATATTTTGATGAATGTATCTAAAATACTTTTTTTTACTTAAGAGGTCGGAGGTATTGCGTCTTAGCGGACGATATATTTATATATTGTAATGTCGTGAGGTACCTAATGACAAAACTTAATATTATTAATTCTCGTTAAGCATGTGTTCTGTATTTCACATTTATAATAAAAAACGTACCTACTTTTCAATACAGAATTAAAATAAAAGTTGATAAAAACTGAATATTATATTATGATCTACGTCTGTCGCACTAACTACCTACTCAATTAAATCTCATCAATAATTTATATCATATAACTAATACACAAAGTAATTATTCTGATTTTCAAATGTATAATAAATACCATAATGTCGTGATGTACCTACTTACTTCGTCAACAAGACAACTTAACAAGCCTGGATTAAGACATTTTGAGGCCAAAGTTCTAAATAATGCCCTGTACGAAAAAAAAATGTATATAATATTATGTAGGTACCTATTATAATAAATATAGCCATATAGGTACATAGCATTATAGCAATAAATAATGCATAATGTACCACTTTATTTGTATACTATAATTTACCTACAAGCTTTTTTCCTGGCTTTTGTTTGACAAAATTCTTTAATAATTGTTTGAAAAATGTCGTTTTCAGATTCCAGTATCATAAGTGCAGTCAAATTTTCTTGGTTAATGTTGATCTGTAATCTGTATTTATGCTTGACTTTATTGAGTTTTGAAAAAACTTTTTCGGCTGGATAATTTGAACTTGGTACTACCTAGAGTTGTATACATTTAAGTTATAAATTGGGAAAGACATAAATTAGTTCATTTTCATCAAATCATTTCCAAAGATTAAGCATACTAAAATTTTCATGGTCTGCATAAACGACCCCCCCCCCATAGGTTCACCTCTGCATACAAATAGTAAAATGACAATATTATTATTCCATGATATTTTGGATAGGCAACTAAAAGTACACCACAATTACTTGTTTTATTCGCTCGTCATTTTTTGATTGCATGCCATTGTGTGGTCGCCAGACTTGGGTAAATTACTTTTAAAATGGATTTAGATTAAATATTCGAATACTTATGAAAAATAGTATTCAGAATATGTATTTAAAAACTTCATAAAAATAGTATTTTAAATACTTTTAAAATACTTTTTAGGTTTTGTTTTAAATATTAAACCAATGATGTTTTTCTATTAAATTCTGGAAAAAAAATCAATTACTGCAACGTGGTATTTATTTTTTAAAATAAAATAAAATGACGCAAAATAATATGCCCAAGCGTGGATTTAGAGGGAAGACATCACTAAAATTATTAAAAAACCATTTCTGTCCAGATTATGCTGTTATATTATGATAAACTTAATTTTTCTATCGTCTATAATTTATAAGTACGATGGGTTGAACTAAATTTTGCCACATTTCAATCAATCGTAGACAATTTTGTGCCATTACTCTAAACTTTTTTTTTCTAATTTCCAGTAAAAATAGAACTTTTAAGAAATATCTTGTATTCACTTTTTAAGCCTTGGGTGTGAAAATTCAAAATTTTATAAATTTTCAACAACAAAATAATTTATAGGTATACTTGTGTGATTTTGGGGAATTTTGTAAGAATCTGAACCTTAAACGTTTGTTATAATAAATTGTGACTTATATGTATTTTTAATATTTTTATTGTGTAATAAATACATTATTGTATAAATGTATTAAAATATTAAATTGTCAAGCTTATTATGTATTTATAAACTTTTTATAAAATAAAAATTCAAAATATACTAAAAAATTAGAAAATACAAAATATCTATAAATTGGCAAAAAAGGCAAAATATTTTTAAAGTTATATAATATCTAGCATATGCTAATAAACATATACATAATATAATATTTATTATTTGGTGAGCATTTCAAGTCTCTACAGTCATTCGTTTTGTGAGTCACAACAAAAAAAAATTTTTGATTTTGTCAAAAACCTGTTCTACGTGAAATTCCGGTTTTCCATATTTGTTTTCCCATTTATTTTTAATAGTAATGAACATATTTTCTTTTGACCTCCTATAGTCCTATCAGTACCAATACTAGATCTAATTTGAAGCCGGAAACCACTCTCGAAGTTCAAGATCAATGTATTTTTTCTACTATAACCGTGCACATGGACGGACAAAATATTTGAAAAAACACACACAACATGTCGTTCCGTCAAAAATAAAAATAATTGTTTACATAATATGTACCTAATAACGACTTCAATATAATCTGAGAAATGAGAGCTGATGTCTTAAGTGATAAGTGACTCTACAATAAACATCTATATTGATTATGAATTATGATCTACTGGTCTATTATAAGTTA